CTCACTTGTATGTGTATTATTTTAAAAGCATTGTTAGGAGATTAAATTGTTCTGTGAATTTTTATCTGAAATGAATGGGAGCCATGCAAGAGCAGTTGTATCCTCACATATGTAGCTCCCTTCCCCTTCAGTACGGATCTCTTTACAAAGCAGACAGTACCGTGAAGGCTGCAATTGCAAAGAGCTATTGCTACTGCCAGCGTTATCATCACAAACCACACAAGAGCGTAGTAATCGTTTCCCAGAAATCAAAGAATGAGACAGTTATCCCTTCAAAGCCATACGTCATTTTTATTAAGAATGAACATATTCTACCTATACCTGATCACAAGTGTCAGTTTAAAGTATTATTTTATTTAATTTAAATGAATTTATACCACACACAATATACAATATACTATTATTTCTGAATCATTAGAGGCATCTAATCCCCCACTCTCATCATGTTAAAGAATCTCGGTTTGCTAATGACAGTTAAAGGTTACCTTCTGCATCTGTTATCACTCCGAGATCTCTTGCAAGTAATGTTTTCATGGAAACTACATAAGTTACATTCCAATCTCTACCCACATTTCCAGAACTAAAAACAGTTTCCCCCAGTTGTTCCATAGCTCTACAATTTTATTTTTCTTACATATGGAAGTTATTAGTAACAGAGGTCAGAGGACTTGCTAGTGCAGGGCATGTTGACATGTTGGGTTATAATCCAACCAGCTGAGCCATGACCGGGAGCCATGTGATGTGGCACGTTGTGGGCAAAGGCAAACTGTTACAAAGAGAGACAGAAATCCTTTGATGCTCCTGCCATGCAGCTTCTGAGCAACCCCCATTGCTAGCTGCCCCCAATGCACTCAAGTGGCTGACAAAGCCCCCTCCCCTCCCTCCGGGGATTATGAGAGCTTTGGGGCTTGCTGTGGCTTTTTTCTCGCCTTTTCCTCCCTCTTCAGCCTGCAAAGGCTGGTTGACAGCTATGGACCCTCCAATGCACCCCAGTGGCATGCTGGAGGGGCTGTTCCTGATGGCTGGGTTTTTAAAATTGACCCCTAATTGTTGCAATTACTGAAGTTATTTTCCTAAAGTTAAGTTGAGGAGCTCCTTGGGGCACTGGATGTTACAAAGGTGCCAGGCCCTGATGTTACACCCATTGGTACTTCGGGAGTTGGCAGGGGTACTCTCATGCCCACTGGCCTCCATTTTTGAGGCCTCATGGAGAATGGATGAGGTTTCAGAGGACTGGAGGGTGGTGTCAGTGGTCCCAGTCTTCAACATGGGTAGTGGAGGGGACATGGGGAATTACAGACTGATAAGCCTTGCATCCATTCTGGGTAAAGGCTCATAAAAGGAAAAACACTGGAAGCCCTAGATGGGGAAGGGAGGTTGGCAGCCATGCAACATGGCTTCTGCAAAAACAGGTCCTGCCAGACAAACCTTGTGGAATTCTATAATAAGGTTTCGAGATGGCTAGATGGAGGGGACATGGTCAATGTGACTTACCTGGATTTCGGCAAGGCATTTGTCAAAGTGCTGCATGATAGCCTGGTTGAGAAATTGATGAGTTTTGAGATAAACTGATGTACTCTCTGATGGATTAGGGCATGGCTGAGAGTAACTATTAGTGGGGAATCATTGGGATGGCAGTTGGTGATGAGAGGGATTTCCCAGGGCTCTGTCTTGGGCCCGATCCTGTTCAATATTTTCATCAATGACCTGGAAGAGGGGGTGACAAGTCTGCTGGTCAAATTCACAGATGATACTAAAATGGGGGCAGTGGCCACAACTGAGGAGCAGGTACTGTCCAAAAGGATCTGGACAGACTATGGACGTGGGTGGGGGGCAACAGGATGGCATTCAGTGTAGGTAAGTGCAAGGTCTTGCACTTCGGGCATAGGAATGGGTGTCCGTCCGTCCGTCTGTCTGTCTTAAAAGGTTTAATAGACTGTCCCATTATTAACATCTCAGGATGGTTTACAAGCACTGATAAAAATGGTACAGCATCCAGCAATTCACAATAAAATCACAATTAAAATAAAAATAATGGGATAGTATTGAACATTAAAATAACATTAAAATAATAATAAAATAAAAAGGGTTTTGCCTGGCGCCAGAAAGAAAAAAGCATTGGCAGCAGGCAAACCTCTCTAGGGAGTGTATTCCACAGTCACGGTGCCACCCTCTGCTGGGTAATCGCCCTTCTAATCTCTAATGCCAGCCCATTACCATGGCCAGTTAAGAACAGTTACTGCCTCACCTGGACTAGATATAAAAGAGAGGTAGAGTTGGGTGTCATCAGCATACTGATGACCCTGCAACCCAAACCCCAGATGACCTCTCCCAGCAGTTTCATGCAGATGTTGAAAAGCATGGGGGATAAAAGTGAACCTGAGGAACTCCATGGCAAAGTTGTCATGATGCAGAGCCGTAATCCCCCAGTACTACCTTCCGTAATCAGTCATGAGTACAGGTTAGGGGGCAAGGGTGCTGGTCAGTATGAGACAGCAGTGAGATGCAGCAGTCGACAGAGTGAATGCCACCCTTTAATGCATAGCTAGAATCATGGCTTCTAGATCGAGAGAAGTATTACTGCCACTCTATATGACTCTGGTGCGCTCGCAGCTGGCGTATTGTGTTCAGTTCTGGGCTAGGCCCCTCATTACAAGAGGGATATAGCAAGGTTGCAATTGGTGCAGCAAAGGGCCACAAGGAAGGTGGCTGGTTTGCAGGGAAAGCCATATGAGGAGAGACTGTGGGAACTGGGTCTTTTCAGCCTGAAGAAGGGACTCAGCGGGGACCTGTTAGTGACATACAGGTACATGAGAGGGTGTCATGTGGAGGTGGTTCATGACCTTTTTTCCGTGTGGATGAGGGCAGGATGCATTCCAATGGAGCAAACCTCAGGGAACCAAGATTGAGGGTAGAAGCTAGGAAGTACTTTTTGATGCTTATGCCCCCTGGGGTATGGAACGGGCTTCCATGGGAGGTGGTTGAAGCCCCATTGGTGAAGGTGTTTAAGGATAGGATGGACATGCACATGGTAGGCATGTCATGAGTGGAGCTGGCTGGAGCTGGGGGTCAGACTAGATGGCCTTGGAGACCACTTATGGCTCACTCTGTTTCTATGTTCCCTTGTTCGCTTTCCCCAAGTGCTGATGACCACAGTTATGCAAAGGCAGCAATGGAGAACCTGGGGTTGGTAATGGGCAGGAATGCCTTCTGGCAAATTCTTCTGAGAGGGAACCATAGCCCCAAGTATGGCCTCAATTTTGCAAGTGTCCCTGAGATACACAGGTATAAACACTCTTATCTACCCATATTCTTTCCTGTTTGACTCCTTAGAATGGAGGTTTGTAGTTTGACAGTTCAATGGAGCTGTCAAAGCTATTAACCCCTTACACAGGCTTCCCAGTGCGTTCCTCAGATGACTCACATGTTCCTTCCTTCCATGGAAATGTCATGTTTGTGAGTGAAGCAGCTGCAGGCCATTTTCAAGCCCAGGCCTGTGTAGGTGCCCATCCCCTTCTGTACTCATAAGGTGATGGGCATCCAGTTCAGCATAGCAGGAGTGTGGAGGCAAGGACTGGCCATTTCCTCATCCTCAAAAACATTTAAGTGAATGACTGAAGTTGTCTAAATGTTAGGTGACAGCTGGATTGGGCAGAAATCACTTCACCCCTCCTCTCCTTGTCTCCTGAAATTCTGCCCCATGAAAGGATTGGCATGGAAAGACCTGCACAAACTGAGAGGGTGGAAAGGGCATTATGAGAAAGTCATTCAATCAGCTCCCTCCAATTTAACCATAGCCCATATAACTTAAAAAAATTCTGACAACCCTCTTTGGCCGCAATGATAGAAGTATTTCATCCTGCATAAAAACTATTGTTTTGTGTAATGTATGTTGCACACATGAATTTGACATATTTATGCCTTTTTTCTTCTGGTGATTTTAATAATGCAAAAGCTTTTAATCCAGTGTAAGTGCTAACTTATTGGTTATATACTCTATGTAAATATTTTAACAATTGATTTTGTAAAGGAAGACACCATCTGTAGAATTTGCATAATTGTATAACATTTTATTTGTTTTACATGTTTTGGAGTAACCCTAAATAATAGTAATGTTGCATGCTTTTAGTTTCACTGCAGTCTCCTACAAATGAGAGCATATTTTTTGTGATACATTGGGAAATAATATTAGGCTTTGCATGGGTGCCTGTGGCTTTTCATTCTCTCTTATTGCTCTTCTTTCTTATCAGTGGCTTTCCTTCTTGTCCTCTCACCCTGAGTGTACCACACTTAAAACAATGCCTCCTGTGGAGAATGGACTTTCAAGCAGGGAACTTGGGAACAATGTACTGCCAGCTTGTCCAGCTTTGTGAGATATGCTGGAGGCAAACTGCCTGGATGAAAATGAATGTTCACTTACAGACAGGAAAGTAATTAATACATTAATAATTACTATTCTTGCTGTTAAGGAAATCAACTCTGACTGCTCTTTAGAAGGCCAGATACTGAAGATGAAACACAAATACTTTGGCCATCTAATGAAAAGGAAGGACTCACTGGAGAAGATTCTGATGATGAGAACAATTGATGGCAAAAGGAGAAGGGGACATCAGAGGATGAGGCTATATGGAGTCCCTGGGGCAGCGGATGTGGGCTTGGGTGGACTCTGAGGCATGGTGGAGGACAGGAGAGCCTGAAGGAATGTTGTCCATGGGGACGTGATGGATCGGACGCAATTTTGTGACTGAACAACATTCTCAGTGTATTGCCACTATATACAAGAATCACCAAAGGTCTAATTCTTTATCAAATATCACTTTTCCAAAGTTGAGAAAAGCCTTCACAAAACCTAAGTTTCAGCAGATGCTTTTGAAGAAAGCATGCACCATCATATTTCTATAGCAGATACTTTATGTGTCTCCTTTTCTGGGTGGTTAATAAATTGATATGGTGGCATGCTTACCTTTAGATGCACATGAGTCAAAGTAAAACTAAAGAAAACTTAAGTAAAAAAATAGCAGCCATACTTTATTAATTGTGGATTACATTCATTGTATCATTTGTCACATGCATATATTGACCCCATTATTTGTTGGATTCAAGACCTAAACTTTTAGATGGTACATGAGAATCCTGAAAGCCACTGAAGAGACAAAACAAAAACAAAACAACAACAACAAAACCCCCATAAGCTAACAGTTACCTGGTTTTAACAATAAACACTACTATAAAGTAGTGCTTCCTCTGTTATATAGGTATAGGATTACAACCTAAGGTTAGCATTTATTGAAACATATCCTAACAGATATCAGTGGTGCTCATTTTCTCATCCTACTGAAGTTATCACAGCAAAAGAATGGAAATTGTGAGGGTCTGCAGAAACAAGGATTTCCAGATGGTTGGCAGATGGAAGTGTTTCTTTCCATACTGATCAACTGGTGGATTGGGACCCACCATGATTCACAGTCTGTCTAAGGTAGATTCCAACAGCAGCTTTATAGATATATAGTAAAAATTAAGAACTGACTCCCCAAATGAGTATTTGGGCTAACTATGACCTGAAAAGGTTAGAATACTGCTCTAACATGTACTAACATGGAATATTTCCCTTTTGAAAAATTAGTTTTCCACAGAAAAGGAGTTTATACTTCACATTAAGCTCTGTTAGATCCACTCTCATGGAATGGTTCATAAAAGAAATGACAAGTGAGAATTGCAATAACATATTGCAAATATGTTCCTAGAGCCCTATAGAAGTGCTTTCCTCCAGCTAAGTTGTAGCACTGCAGTCCCAGATCACAAAAAGGAAGAGGACTGTTCCAGGAAGGGACTTAAAAATACTTTTTGAAACCTTCTTCCTCTTTCCAGTATGAAAAGGCTTGAGCATGAGGCTGGTGGCCAGTCTTGAACCTGGATCCTGCCTGAAGGCCTAACACCCTTCTAAAACACCCCCATGTAGTATGCAAGTCTGCGTGAGAAGAATTTTTAAGCCTTACAGTGCACCCATGCACAGCCCGAAGCATCCCTCCAGCATACTATAAGAGGCTCAAGCATGCTGATTGCTTTAGCCTCCATTTTCCTTTAAAAAAAACATTCAAAACTCAATTGCCCACATAAAATAAGCTGAGCTAAAAAAGTGCTCTTGTATTTTGTTTGGGAGGAAGCCTGTTTATTCCCATCCACACCTGCACTAGAAGCCTGGATTTCTTCATCATTTTTAATAGGCAGTTCTACAAAGAGGCATGATTATCATTTTACAAGAAAAATGGACATGGTGAATAAAACATTGGATGTTGTCTCAGCCTTAGAAAACTCCACAGTCTATTTGGATATGATTGCAAATATTTGTGCAATCAGTTATAAAGGAAATCCTGCCCTTCAAGAGCTTAGTAAAATTTACTGAGGTCAGCATGCCCACATTTTTAAATTGCCTTTATCAGTATTTAATAGTTCAACACATGCTATAATTGGACATTGTTAAGAACCAATGAGGCTGCAATTGTTAGGAACCAAGGAGGCAAGAATCCTGGAACTAAGCTAGTTCCCCGCCCCTCTCTTTCTCTCTCTGTGCGCGCACACACACACACACGCATGCATGTGCTTTAAGTGTCTAGATATCTCCTAGCAGCTACATGGACAACTCTCACACAGGAGCACATGGCTCACCTGCAAGTCTCAAGCAGTACTAGGTGAGGCACAATAAGCTGGTTGTGAGGAAACAGAACATACCGATACTCTGGGAAATTGCTTCCACAGACCACCAGGTATGCTGAAACAGTGCTCCTGGGACTGGATAAGGGAAACTTTCAAGGCTGGAGGCTTGGCAAAAACAGAGCAGAACAAACATTTCATCAGTGACAAGCCATTGGAATAGGAGAGTTGGCAATTGATACTGAAGGGGCATAATCTTGGCCAGCCCCAGCCACTAAAGACCAGGCAATTCCCCAGAGCTGTGCAGACAGGTGCCAGGCTTCATTTGCCATCCCTATTTTTCTTGCAGTGCTGGGGGAACAGTCTCGATAGTCTTTAGGAAGCTGAAAAGGGAGCTGCACTTTGTTTTAATGGAGGCTCAGGTTAAGCCTCAGCTACATCCAATTCAGAGGTCTATTTATCACATTCCATTTACCCATCAACAGCACTATTACAGAAATGTAGCTGCTCTGTGGCATCTAGAGCTTTGAAAGGCCGGCATGCACGTCCTAAGATGAACCAAATCCGGGCATATTGACATGCTTCTAACTCCCAACACTAAAGCGAAACAAAGCTCAACTGAATGTACAAGCCCTGCTCAGACAAACAGTAATTATACAGAATGGAAAAATAAAGGAAATAAGAGAATGCAGAGTAAGGACCTAGTTCAAGCTCCAAACAATTAGTGGTTTCCACAGTGAGTTAGGATCAATTATTGATCCTAATTTTTCCAGTTTGATTTCAGTGTGGTTCAAGTGAAGCTAACAGTACAATTTTGATGCAAACACAGTGCCAATTTCCCTTTGATGTTTTGGTTAAAGATAAGCCACGTCTTTGGCACTGCTGCACAGAGCTAGGCTGGGCAAGCCTGGCATCCAGGCTGGCAGTCAATGCCGAGACTACTGGAATCTGTCCTCTGAAACTCTGCGCTCTTTAGAGCTAACTATCTGTATGCCATTAAAAATGATCACATTTAAAAAATTATCACAATCCAAACATAAACTATTTATACTACTACAGTGACTGGATCCAGCTAAAGATAAATGTATACACTATATATTGTTGGTCAAGTTTCAAAATAAGGACAGTTTAATTTTATTTACAAAGATGCTCCAACAACAACTGTTTGTAAATGAATGTTTAAAAAATCCTCACAAAAACATAGCAGAGACCTGATTTCATTTAGAAGGGACTGAGAAAAAGATCGTAAGACCTGAGAATTGAATATGTGGACTCACTTTACATTCCAAGAAATCCATCATGACACATAATGTTACATGTTTAACAGTTCTTCCTTTCAAAATAATTCTCAGAAAATTGCTAAAAGCCCAGCAAGTGAGCAGCTCTTGATCTGATGATCCAACATGGAAGAAGTCACCATCTCCATGATGGACGAAACTTCCACTGTAGTTTTGCAGGAATGCCTCCTACTTTATTGCAGCAGTATATATCTCTTGAGCTGTGTGCCACGTGGAAAGTTGCTGGCTGCTGTTACCACTCCTCCTGCAGGTGTAAGTGAAAAGAGCGAGCCAGCCATAGCCAAGATGCAAACGGCTTTACAGGTGAGATTTTTCCCTATGCTGTCTTTGACTCTGCTGCCACAGCTTTGCTACTTCAGACTTAGTAGCATCTTGGAAAAGTTTTTCAGAAAAATTAATGGGCCTCTTATTCCACAAATGGCAAGTCAGTGGGCTGGGATAGTAAGGCCAGCGGTAGATTATTTTCAGTGATGAACGAACCTCAGTGACAGGCACCAAAAACTTGAAATATGTGGGCCTTCATGAAGAGAGATGGCAACCCATTTTTGCTGAGTGCATCCCATTTGAAATGTGACTGGCCACTTCTGTCTGCACGTTTGATTTGTATATATTTAAATAAATCCATGGAAAGTTCCCTTTCTTAAACAACTCTACTTTCCATTATTTGCCTTTGTTAATATTGCATTGTACCTTCCCACATCTTGTACCACAGATCAACCCCAGTTACAAAAACACTGCCCCCTAGCACCCCCACACAACCACATTAAGGCAAACAAAAAAAAAAGTCTGTGCTGAAAGAGTAATTTTCATATCAATGCAAAAATAATATTAAAGAATCAGCTTTAGACTACTCTGCTCTTGACTTTTCCATTTTCCAGTGTGGAAGATGAGTTGGATTCATGTTCTTCACTTGGTTTTCCCTTGGCTCCAAACTGATGATCCATTTCACGGAGTTCTAAAGGCACCTTCTTCTTTTTGTCAAATGCCAGGTTGATTTCAGCCAGAGTCTTGTTTTTTGTTTCAGGCAAAACAAAGAAAAGGAAAGTGGCACCAGCAAGACAGACGGCAGCAAAGACCAGGAAACAATATGTCTGCAAAGCTTTCTGAAAACACAAAGCAAAAAGGCATGCTATAAAAAGTTCCTCTGACTATGTTCTGAGTACTCTTATCAAATAGCAGCTACTGCTCCAAAAGCCTCCCATTCTTGGATTAGGGAGTCTAGTACTGACTTCAAGAAACATTTCATTCCCAGCGTCTACTTTGACTGAGTTTTCACGATAAGGCAACCCATCAAAGATAGCTAACCATGGTGGGTTGTGTCACCTGATGAAGGGCTCTCATGATTACATGTGTAAGATACTGTGGGTTGCCTGAAGCAGTGAGCAAATGGCAGAACCCCCTTGTTGCTGTTGTCCAGGTTGCTGCTCCTGCAGCATTTTGGACCAACCACCACTGGCTTGTGACCTTTAAAAAGTGAGACTGCAAAAATATGTGCAGCTGAACTCATTGCTTGCTTGCTTGTTTGTTTTTTAAATGCTGGTCTTTCCAGGTTGTATAAGTGTGTGCTTACAGCTGCCTGAAAAAAGTGGAATCTTGCCTGGCCAATGTCAGGTCTGCTGTCAAAGTACAGTACACTGACCAAGCAAAGCTGCATACAGGTTACTTTGCACAAACTTGACAGCTGTCAATTGGTGAGTGGTTGAACTAAAAAGCAAATTAGTGAAGAGCTCTTTTTCTTGAAAGGGTACAAGTACATTTCTGGGACATGATCCTCCAGTCCTTAGTATTGCCCTAACAGTTCTCAGTGCCCTCCACCCTTTCTACACTCACCTGGGCCTCCAAGTACTCCAGAAAAGAGAGAACTGCATCCCACCCCCTTTTCATGAACACTTACTTTTAACAGCTATCCAAATAAAATAAAACAACAATAAAAAGAGTTGCTTTTAAAAAGGAAAAACTACTGGCAAGTTTAAGCATGCTTGTGGGGAGGGAAATAGGGTCAGGGAAATATATGCAGATTTCATGTCTGCATATTTTACATAAATCCATATTTTTATGACCTAAGCTTAACTCAATGGAGTGGAGAGACCTAGAAATATGCCAGCACTAGTCAGACCACACCTGGAGTACTGTGTTCCATTCTGGGCACCTATGTTTTTAGAAAGATGCAGAAAAACTAGAAAGGGTACAGAGGAGAGCATCAAGGATGATTCAGGGCCTGGAGGCAATGTCTTATCAGGGAAGATTGAGAGAAGGGGACATTTTCAGCCTCAGGAAGAGAAGACTGCAGGGAGATATGGTAGCTCTCAACAAGTACTTGAAAGGCTGCCACAAAGGAGAAAGACAAGATCTCTTCTCATTCATTCCAGAGTGCAGGACACAGAATAATAGATTTAATTTAAAAGAAACCAGGAGGAATTTTCTCACTGTCAGATCAGTACAACAATGAAACTATTACCTGGGGAAGTTATGAGCTATCCCTTGCTGGAGATACTCAAAAAGCATTTGAACAGCAGTCTAAATGGGATGGTGTAGCTTAGTGTCCTGCAATAGCAGGGGCTGGACCCAGTGGCCTTCTGGCCCCTTCCAACTCTACTATTCTATGATTCTATGCATAGTTTCATGCCATCATTTCTATAAGTACATTTTACAAAACACAAAATTACTTAATCTGTTTGCAAAGAAAATGGAAGACTTTCTCTGTATGTCCTAAAATTGTTGTGATTTTAGTCATCGTCACTATATACCATATTTTTGGGAATTCAATATTAGGAATATGTCTCCCTGCATCCATCATATGAGATAATCAATTTAGAGCTATCATCATGCTGACATTCTTAACCAATCATATTTTTCTACTTAAAATCATTCAAGAGAAGTTAAGCAAAGTATTTCCTTTAGTTAATCAATTCATGTGGGCAAATAAAACTTTAAGAGTTAGTAATGTGATTGCACAGCAGAAAATAACAGAGGGAAATCTTGCTGTTCCCCACACCAGGAAGGACTATGTTTCCGCCAAGTGGGCAAAACCAAATTTGACTAGTGTATTTCATTTGCACCATGGGTTATACTTCTAAGATCTGAAAGAAAGGATTTATAAATGTTGCAGCCAGAGCTACCATAATACATACTTGTGGAAACTATAAACCAAGTCTGGCATCTGGATCATCTTCCTTACTCCTAGTAATATATTATATAAAATTTATACTTGCTGGGTCTGAGTGTAACTTCTTAAAAGGCAAACCTGTCAACTTAAGGAGTACAATCTCCCAGCACTGTCAGAGAACTGTAGGATTTTCTGGAGCCCCAGGTCTTTGATCCTATTGTTGGGACTCAAAAGTCCAAGCCCCTGGCCTGTTGCAGCCAGCATGGAACGGATCATGCCGGCTGCTTTCCCCTCAAGGTTGCAACTTGCGAAGATGGAAAATGGGGGCATGCCGGGAAGCCACAGCAATTTCAGCTGGGGCTGCAGCCTCCTTCCCTCCCCTTCTCAGCAGTAAATCTCGAGTGCTGAAAACAGCCCTCTAAAGAAAATGCAGAGAATGAGGTGCAGCAGTGGTGGCAGAGACTGCCTCCATGATGCCTTACTCCTGCCACTGGAAGCTCATAAGCATCAGAGTTTGGAGGAAAACAAGCTTTGGCCACGAGGGTGAAAGGAGCGCACCCTTAACCCTTTTGATTTAGACTTGGCAGTTCAGTGTCTATGGGCCCAATCCTGTGTATGTCTAGGCAGAAAAAAATGCCTGCAATCTCATCAGGCAGCAGGGCTGGCCAGGGCATGATGGGAGTTATACTCTTTCTGTCTGAACATGCATAGGATGGTTACATTTTTATAGTTAAACATTGTTAAATTTGTACAGTTTTCAAAGATTTGTCTTTTTATTGTTTTAATAATCAGGTAGATATGCTACTTCAGGGATTTTAGGCAAAGCTGTATTCAAGGTGTATGTTAACCTGTATATCAAATCTATCTGTCAGAATTACAGCTATTTTGTCTTCTAATGATGAAAACTGCTAGATTATTAAAAATAACCCTAATGACACAAACTTATGAACATTTCTCACACTGGATTCATATGACATGGTGAGCTGATCTGACAAGTATAATTATGGCAATTCCTTCAGCATGTGAGGAAAATACGCTATCACGATTAGTTTCTCCTGCCACAATCAGGTGAACACAGCCATGATAGCACCCTACCATTTGCATTGTTAACTGAGTGCTGATTCTATTCTATGGTGCATGTAGGGCAGTGAGGGTAGGGCTTCCTTGCTTTTTGGCCCAGTTAAGCAACGGCGAATGCATGTGAATTACTGCAATAATTATTATGCTGTACATGCTGTAGGACCTGTGTTCATACAAACAACTGCTCCAGTTGAAGAGGCTGGGCTTATCTGCCTCTTCCTTGGGGAAGAGTATTTTCCAAACCTTAGTACTTGATGATATTTTCTTGATCATATGTCATATGTCAGGCAATCAAGGATACCAGTTAACTCCCTATATATTTATCTGATTAGTAAAACTGTGTTTTGGCAAGTACTAGTATTGTGTGTCTATGAAACGTATTACAAATTACACTGTCAAAGTCTGAATGAATACACGAGTCAACAGACTGTCCTGAGAACTCACGCAAATATCAGAACCGTGGCTTTTCATGTAAGTTCAGCCTGTCACTTCACTACCCACATGTATCAGGATCAAGCCTGTCTTTCCACAGCAAGCAGTGCTACTGTTTTCGAAAGGGTAACAATGTTTTCTGCTTTGGGCATATATACCTTCAAGCAGGATACCAAGAAAATGTAAGTATCTGCCAGTTCATGAGACCTGAGAGTCCTTGGAATGTGCTGTCAGGCTTCATTAGATCAGTTTTGCTCTCAGCACAGATTGTGACTGTGTATTGTTCATGAAAATACCCACTTTCCAAAAAGTAGAAACAAGGATATGGAAAAATCGCCTTATTACATTTTCTCTCTTCTACATACAGCTGAATAAAAGCTGGGTTAGAATTGCAAAGTGAATCTTAATAGCATGTGGGTGTATATACATCTTTAAGAAGCTGATTTTGAAAAAAATGTGTGTGTGGCCCTTTTCTCCTGTGCCAGAAAATTATACTCTTAGTACATGGTGTTAATCTCAGCGAGCATCAGAGATAATATGTGGGTACATGTCTTCAGTATCTGGTAGGAATGACAATACGCATTATGTGTCATGTGTGAGAATCACTATCTGGGCTATTGTTATAGGTTCTCTGGGGAGGGGAAGGTCAAAGTCACTCTCCTCCACCCCGGAAGCAGATTTGAGTAGCTGACTTCAACCAGGTACATCTGTACTGGCTCTCCAAATTACATCACTAAGCATAGTGTTTTGTGACCCTACCTGAGGCCTGCCAGCTGAAAAACAGAAAATGTTCCTGGACTCAGGGCATCTAATGAGGGTCCAGGATGTACCCTGCTGCTTCAGCTCCTCCTCTGTTTGTGGGTATGTTTTTTTTAGGAAAGCTGTGAGGTTGTTTTTGTCCCTAAGTTTCCTGTGCCAAGGCTACTGCTACTGTCACAGAAGGGGAATGACAGCAGTCATAGGTTAAGGCCCTGACTCCTTCAGGTTTACAGGTCTGTGGACACTAGATTTGGCATGGTGCAGTCGGTATGAATTAGAGTTGGTTGGTCTGCCTTCCACCCTGGGTGGAGCAGCTGCTGAGCCCTGGGGCTAGCTAGACTCTCTTTCCTGTTTCCAGGGTGGGGACTTGTGCCTTGTGCATGGGAGAGGTGCTTATACATTGCTTTCCTCCTCCTCTCTACAAAACGTGCACTGTCTTGCCCTTAATGTCTGTTTCTTCTCCTTCTCCCTGCTGCCAAGCCTCCAAGCCCTCTATGGTGAGTTCAAACAAACAAACAAACAAACAATGAAAGCAGCGATGTCTTTATGCTGTGTCACATATCATGCTTTTTCTATTATGTCAGATCTTAGGCTCTGTGCACTCACAATCTGGCCTTGGTTTTTCAGCTCAACAGGGGGATGGGGGAAATGCCATGTGTGTAGAAATTCAATAGGTACAGCTCTCCCAGTTACCACATTCATGCATAATGAGTTCATTGGAGCTTTGGCATTGGTAACTTTAGGAATAAGTGTAACCCTATATTATCCTTGACTTTTTATATAATGTTATATAAAAAAGGAAAACTGAAAGTATGTTCTGGATTGGACACAGTGAGATGTCCATACTTTAACACAAAATATTTAAACTGTCAATTCAGGTTTTTTACCCTATTATACTCCTTACCAGAATGATTCTCAGTGCCAAGTATCATGCTGAGAGGACAAACCTTTTTGAATTTAAGAATTCAAAGAATTTGAATTTATAGTTATAATTATGCTGATGACAGCATAATAATGCAAGACACCTTAAACCACAGGAGGCTGCCAATAAGGTGCCTCTAAGACCTTGTGTGGCCTGGCCTTCCCTTCCCTCAACCATCACAGCCCCTCCCTTGCCCCAGACTCTTCCTCCTGCTCTGTCTTTGTACCATCATGGCCTTTCTTTCCCTCATTTCCACCTGGCACCGGGCTCACTGCTACCTTTCCTGCTCCTTGCCACCTTGGCGGTCCTTTTCTCCCTGCTGCTGCCATGTGCATGTGCAACGTTGCCAATGCGGTCCATCTGGCCACCCTTCCTTCCTTCTGCATCCCCATGCAACTGCTTGCGGCTTTTCATGTTTCATGTTAGCCTACTACAGATCGTTAAGGTGTGTGCAGCAGGAGTTGGGGAGCAAGGAGGACGGAAGCAAGCAAAGCAGGGAGGGGGAAGGAGGAGGAAATAGTGAGTTGGAAGGGAACAGGAAGAGGAAGAACAAAAGGAAGAGGAAGAAGAGGGCATGAATCCATGTGTGTGAGAGAGAGAGATGAGAAAGGAAATAGTGAAGGGTGTTGGAGGAAGAAGTAGATGTGTACCCCCCACAACAATTTTTGGTAGTGCCCATGGACCTATTTCAGAATGCAAAATGGGCTTGTGACCCAATATAAGAACCATGCTGAGTCAGCCCAAGGGTCCATCTAGTCCAATGTGCAAGTATGAAAGAGAGAGAGAAACGCCTTCTTATTCATTTTCTACACACCACACAATTTTGTACACCTCTATCATGTCTTCATGTACTTGCCTTTTTCTCAACTAAAATATTCTCAGTTATTGCAATCTTTCCTTACAGGGGAGTGGTTCTAACCCCTTGATCATTTTAGTCGCGGTTTTCTGCATTTTTTCCAACCCTACTATTGTGTTTAGCCATGGTGATCAGAACTTTACAAAGTATTTTAAGTGCAGTTGCACTATAGCTTTATATGATACTGGCAGTTCTATTTTATGTTTCTTCCTAATTGTGCATAACATGAATTTTGCCTTTCAAAGAACAGTTGTGCATTGGGTCAACATTTTCATTAAGCTGTCATCTGCACCTCCAAAATGTCTTTTTTGCTAAGTGATGCTAGCCCAGTTCCTAAAAAGGTTGCCTACTCAGCATGAAACTAAGGAACAGCTCAAGAACAACATGATGAGTCCATGAACAAGAGTGACTGATTTCTCTCAGATAACTAAAGTAGGATAGGCGATCTATAAGAAACTTTTCATCAGGTTTTTGTTCTAAAGATCTTGTAGATTCTAAATCTTAAAGAAGCATTTTCAATAAACCTTAGGTGACTATACACAAAATATATTAATAAAATGGATAAATTGCAGTGTGTGCAGTGAACTAACACTAACGGCAAGGATTATTTTGTCCTTCACCTCAGTAACAAAAGGAAACTTTAAATAAAGGTATTTTGCTGCTTCTGTGGAGGAAGCTTAAGCCAGTGAGCTGACAGGGACCTAAAATAATTCCACAAGAAAAGAATGCATGATTGTCTTTGGTAGCAATCCTGTAACACTTAACTTGGGAGCAAGCCCTAAACAGTATTTAAGTCTGACAGGACTTGCTCTATAAATTTTGTATCCTGTTAATACATTATTAGGACTTCTCATAGCTGCTGGTGGAACATGGGAAAAGGAAGACTCTAAATGACTTAGAATCTCAATCATTTAGGGCTTTGTAGAGTCCCTGATGAATAAGTATTGTAATGATTTCCAGTGGGCAGCTGTCAGATGCTTTTCCTGAGAAATCTCATGTAAAACATTACACACACACAAATGCACACACAATATGGTGTGTGTGTGGGGGGGTATATATATTTATATAGGAAGGTTTATATGATTAAAGTAAGGGTCATCTGTACAGCTCAAGGTGTGTGGGGTGGAAGGGGGAGAATTCAAAGTTCATAGTACTGAGAGTGAAGAAAAAATCTGTTCCATAATCCTTAACCTAATTATTCCCTGTAGTGGAAGTTCCTTGTTATCATAACATACATTTAGAATTAAACCACAGGATACTGAAGATGAGTTTGCATTAATTCTCCCCTAGTCAGTTTTTGCCATTACAACCATTACCTAGATGACATAATTCTGGTTCATACCTGAATGAATGGAAAAAGAAGTCCAACTGCAAAGTTGGAGAGCCAGTTGATTATGCCAGCAATCATAAACGCAGCTGGCCTTTGAGACTGTGGAAAGATCTCTCCCGTTAAAACAAATGGGATCCCACCTGCAAGGAAAGAGACATGAATGAGATGTTTTCAGTAAAGTCCCATGTCTGCTAATTCAGAGTTAGCCCAACGGTTTTCAGCTAGTCTTGCACAGGCATGCATGCCCATGCACACACTGAGCCGAAGAGTTGCCACAGCAATCTCACACATTCCCATTATATCCAGCAGTCTCCCTAGTATAAGGTTATAAGGTGGGTGAGGTGATTCACCATACCTCTAGAATGTAGATGATCCCACTCAAAAGGAGCCACACATAATCACACATTCAAAGGGAAGTTTTGGAACTGATCATTAAAAAGTACATTAGAAAGCATTCTTGTAGGTGCCTTTACAGCAAGGCAGCTTCAAAATGAATTCACAGAGTTAAATGCACCAAACATAAATATTGCAATATTTCATTTCAGCTACACTGTCTTTTTCTTTACTGAGCACAATGGAACACAAACTGATGCTTTAAGGAAAGACAATCACATCAGACAAAAACAATCACAAGAATCTTCGATTTTAATCTCAGTATTGTCCAGTGGAGCTTTTCCAAGTGGTTCAGGGCCTTTTTCAATTTAGGTCAGAGAAAGACATTGTGAAACCCTTGGTAGTTCCTATGATGAATCTGCACAGCATTTTGAAGACAAGGTCACTTGGATTCATCATGAACTGGACTCCACATTTAATACAATTCCTTTAACAGGAAGAAGCACCATCTGGAGCACCATCCGATCCAATTTTGTTGGATAAGGTTCAGCTCCTGGGTCCTGAAGATATACACAAAGTCCTTGGTCAACCTTGGTTCACCACCTGTACGCTTGACCCTTGCCCATCTTGGTTCATTATCAGAATTAAGAAAGGGATCTGTACCTGGGTCCAGGAGGCTGTAATTGCCTCCTTGAAGGAGGGAGCGGTTCCAGCCTCTTTAAAAGAAACCAAATCTGAAGAACATGAAGTTAACAGCTATAGGCCTGGGGCCAATATCCCTTCCTTGAGCAAAGTGTTCACTGGTATAAATTAGATGCATATCCAAATGTACACAGAAGTGAGCATCAAACTAAAGGGACCACAATCATAGAAATATACTTTTTTCCCAGAACCAGAAAACACTGGCTCTTAAATCTTTTGCATTGATTTAGGTAAAATGTTATATTATTAAGAAAGGGCTTTCCAGACTTTGGATTTTAAAGTCTAATAACAATGCTCTGGCATTTTTTTTTTCATTCTCCTCTTTTTTTCCATGGAGTATCATGTACCTACCCTGCAATGGAATCAAGAATGAAAATGCATCCATGTAGATTCTGTGCAAAGTTACTAGTTATAGAAGCTGTCTGTAGAAAGCATAAATGCTGAAGTATACTACATGTTCATCTATTTAAGTTATAACCAGGAGTATGGTAGTAATGAAATGATACTTAAAGTGATGAGAAGCTATTAAGAACAGAAAAATTATGGAAAATCAATGTGAAAAACATTTTGTTTGGTTAAAGTTATAATTTTCTTCAAAAATATTAGTTTAAAGGATCTTCTGTTTAATGAATGCTCATAACAAATTGATCTAAAGGATGGGGGAAGGCAGTTTGAGAACTATTAGAAATATTATTGGGACATAACAAGCCATGTGTACAAGTCAGGTGCACCATTATTAAAAACGAACTGTTGTTCCACAACAAAGGAACACTAACATTTCAGAATTTTAGTCTATCATGGCTCAGAAGAGGCTGTCAGTGTTCTAATGCCCACTGGAACTCCAAATAAGGTAGGCATGAACCCGGTTTTTTTGGGAGGGGCACATATTAAAACATAGCTTTCTCAGTCTCTCAGGGATATTCTGAGTAAGGTCATCTTGGCCTTTGTAGAAAAGCTCATTTTTGTACATGACTGCACAATTTCTTTATAGTGTAATTCAAAGATATCATCAAATAAGTAGTTCTATTAATTTACATCTAAATTCTTATTTTGTGATTTAACCTTGAGTGCCACAATTATATAAATAAGTATAACAACAAAATTATTAACTAAAGCCTTATGGAAGGAAGATCAGCAGAAATGACACATCTTTGACCATGATTCCTTTTCTACTCCATCCCTGTGGAAATGTCTTTCTGTTCTCAGAGCATTAATGCCTCAGAGCATTACTTTCCTGGGAATGGCATTTCCCACTAGATCTTATTTCAAAAATGCTAGAAACTAAACTTGATTAAGCCATTTAAGACAATCTGGTGAGGCAGTTATGCAGAAGAGGCCAGGGCCAGGGCCAGGTCTTATGGCATGGCCATTAACCTACACTGATAGTTTTAATGAAAAACCTGCAAGTATTCAGCTTTGCCTTCTTTGTTTTAATGGGAATAGTATGACCTAAGGTAGATATATTTATTAAATCTTTTTTAACTACATGGACAGACTAATTTGACATCTTTGGAAGTATTAACTTAAATTGTTTGATGGTATTGCTATGCCTGTTGGATCTAATCGAATGAACTAACTCTGAAGCTAAGATTTAATGAACACTAAGCCATACAAATAAATATTTGCACATTTGTTCTATCTACCAAATTAATTTTGATCAATTGCACTACTACTTGGTAATAGTGCTTATTCTATTGAGCTAATCTGGATAGATTTTACTGAAGCAGCTTTGATGAATTGCCACACTGACTGATGACGGATGATTGTTCTGTTTAAGCTAATTTATTTAGAAATTGATAAATGGCTCGTTTTACTGATATCTATATTTCAGGTAATAAAAGTATCTGAACATTTGTGAAATCAGTGTAGGCACAGTATATTACATCTTTTCCAAAAACACAAAAGCAGTATATAATATTGGGAAATATTTCTTCTACCTTCACTTCATCCTCCCACCAACTGTGAGTGAAGTAGATTAGTCCACTGAAAGCCTCTGTGTTCAGAAGCTTATAGGACTGTGGTCATAGGTGCTGGTACAGGACTGTGCCCTTAAGGGTACCCACATCTACCCTGAGCTATGATCAAGCATGCAATGGTACTTTTAAGAAAATGAAGATATTCCTGTATGAACATGTCTCTCTTGAAAATCAAGGTTTGCACTTTATTTACTATTTTGATGAAACATTTAAAAATATTTTAAGCTCACAGCCAAAACAATCAAAGCCAATCATCCCACAGCATAGGATTAATACTCAGTAGCGCCTTTCCAGTTTCATCTGGAGGGGCAATAGGATAGGTCAACATTTTTGTTATAAAACATACAATTTAGCCTTATAAATATTAAATGTTAACCTTCCCCTTCTAACCTCTTTCCCCACTCCTAACCTCACCAATTTCCATAGGAAAAATAGGAAATATGGAGATCATTTTGTCATAAGCTGATAACTGAGTTAAAAATGAAGCTAAAAATGCATTACCTGGTCCAGTGCAAAATGATGCAATTATTGCAAGAATGCAGACTATGCTTAAGTATCGAAGCCATATTGCTTGATTCTGAAAAGTACAATAGAAGGATAGTAGTAATGTGTAATAAATACATATTACAGTCAATATAAACAGTTGCACAGTTTGGGGGTTGGTTGGTTTGCTTTGTAGAGCAGGTTCTATGCGATTGTTAGGCACATCCATAAAAACGACAGATATTTATGTCAAAAGATGAATACTTTGGTTTGCATAATAACTTGTCCATTAAAATGTGGTGCTTATCAGTTTCTGTGCCAATAAATACATGCTCACAATGGTGTAGACTTACTAATAAGTACATGCAATGCTATACATGCCTGCACTGCCATCAGATAAACCCAGCATGTATTAATGGGTTTAACACTTAGTTGCACCCTGAATCCACAACTTAAAAAGAAGTAGTAAAAAGGGAAGTATGGATTATTGTATCAATTTAAAGTGTAAGAGGTCTTGGATGAGGGGCTCATGTGAGAGGGCACAGGCATCTTACTTCCTGCACCACTGGGGCAAGTTTCAGGTTGAGAGAATTGCCAGCCCAATCTCTGCTATGCTGCATCCCAGCCATAAAAGTGGCCAAATTTGGGACCACAGCACTTCAGTCCAGCCAGCATCAAGTGACCTGCAAAACCAATAGGGATTTGAACAGAACTGTAGTTCTCCTCCAGATTGCATTCCTCTGCCTGAGCAAGTCACTGAATGGAGAACAGTTTTGCCTCCTCTGATCCAGCACCTGATCATCAACCTGTTCTTTCCTACTGCAGTGGTACCTTGGCTCACGAACTTAATCTGTTCCAGGACTCTGGTCGTGACCCAAACTAGTCATGAACCAAGCCAAATTTCCCCCTAAGGTTCAATGTAAATAAGGTTAATCTATTCTGTAACTATTTTTTTAATCAGAAAAATGTGAAGCAAAGTGACAAAGAACAACAAAGATCGCAGCCATCTCCTCCCCTCTACCCTGAGCACGAGTGCAGTCATCTCCCCACCCCCCAGCAGGACCATGATTGTGTCCGTCATCCCTGCACGATCACTGGTGCGCTCAGTGGGTGGGGGAGACGGCCTGTCTTCCCTGCATGAGCACGACCATGATCATGGCCATCTTCCCATTCGGGGTGGGGGTGGGGAGATGGCCGCCATCATGGTCACCACCCAATGCGGAATTTGCGACCTGAGTCAAAATTCTAATGGAATTTTTGTTTGTGACCCAATTTGGTCATGAACTGAGGGGTTCGTGAGCCGAGGTACCACTATACTTCTGCCTCCGGTTTTCTGATTCTAACCCGATGCAAGACCTTGCAGTCCACCTTCTGACTCTGACCCTTGCTTCTCTTTTGCCTGTACTGAAATACCACCCTGCCCAAATGTCACTCAGCACTGGCAGTTGATATTGTAGGTTATAACATCATATATTTTCTGCATCAGGGATCAACACAATTTGATTAATTAGTTTAATCACGCTCTAGTTTATCTGTTTATCCCTAGTTATCTAAACCATCACCCTAGTTGATTTCTATATATTTATTAGGGCATAAATTACCATACATTAAGTATCTTTTGATTTGGAGAGCTTTTCTCAAAATTCTCAAAGCTATCCTTCTGACATATCTATGTTGGATGAACTTTGACTGATGCTAATTTAACTGATTTCCCAACCACTGTTTCCATTCAGTTATGCATGGAAAAGTACAATTTCTCATACAAAAGTCTCTATTTTTAAAGTTAGGTTTATCTTTGTTTTTATTACACCAAGTATGTCATAATTACATACATATTATCTAGTTTGGTACAGCTACACTAGAGTCAGTTATTGGCTTTTATCCTGCTTCAACACATCACCATATGACTGGGAAGCACTTTTATTTGGCAATATTCTTCAACTGTTGGAATGCAGTTCACTACAAAGCCAGTAACTACATTTTGGAAAGGCCCAGAACAGTAATACATAGCATGTACCTGGACAAATCTCATGTTCAGTCATTAACATCTCCAGTTCAAAAGGGTCTCAGGCAAGAAAGGTAGTCAGAAGGTGACTGCTGGTCAGTGTAGTGAGTTTGGATTATGTGGGCATAGTATGATTATACGGAGCTTGTCACATCTAAGCTACAGCTAATGGCTTAGCTATAACTGCTTTTGTGTGCTAGTTAAAGCAACTCTTGCTTCTACTCTATTAAGCCTGGAAGTATGCTTTAACCTTAGTGTGAGGAACCAAGATCATGACTTTGCCTACAGAAATGTAATGTGCCGAAAGCTCACCCAGTGCAAGCTATTCTAACTGTCAGAATTACAGTCTTCATTAGTTTGAGAGAAGCCCCTGAAACAAAAGAAACTGTACAATAATTTATGCCAAGAGCACATAAACTCAAAGTTACTTCCATTTCATTCTGTGACCTGCTTCAGAACCCTTTTCATTTTGGACTGTTCAGAAACATCCATTTGAAAATTTGGAAAGTAAATGCTAGTAATGCATCTCAAGGGCAGTTTCTTGACATGTAACCAACAATAAACCTTCACAGGCTACTGAAGATACATCATTAATTTTCTGTTCAGGATTTCAGGTTGAAATTTGATGCTCCCATACCTGGAAGTAAGTTCTACTGAGCACAAAAGGACTTACTCTTGAGGAAGCATGCACAGGATTGTGCTATGAAAGAACAGTCTCACTTTTTAAAGGTTGCAATCCTATGCACACTTGCCTGGAAAGAAGCCCATTGAACTGAGTACAGCTTGCTTCTGAGAAAACATGAACTGGGCTATAATTATACTTACCAGTGACCAATACTTGTATTTCTCTAATTTGCCATGATTGACAAAAGAACATAGAAAAGTGTTATGCACTCTACTTTTCCTTTATATAAGGATCAGATTAAGAGACATTGTGGCAGGTAATGAGTGAAACTATATTATGTTAATTTATCTATAACTGACTCACTACAGATTTTGCAAGCTGCAAGGCTGGGTGGATTTGATTTAAATCAAATCAATTTAAATCGTGATTTAAAACACTAGTTGGTAAGACTAGATTTAAATCATGGTTTTCTACATAATTTGCATGAATGCCTGCCTTACCCATAGGCAGAGCAACTTCATTAAAATATTCTCAAATAGGGTCTCTTTTATGGCTTACTTCCATTATGGATTTTCTCCTCCAGGGAAGAATAAATATGATAAACCTCAGGCTAGACCCAAAAGCTCCAAAGACTTGTGGAGTATTCTGCTCAAATGGCTTCACTTCCATTTTTACTGCTTGCTCTTCCCTCCTCACACTTAGCTTCTTGTGCAGATTTATTCCACTTCCAACAATCTTCTATTCGTTGCTTTTTTAAAACTTAGCACTTAAGAGCTGATTTTGTATACATAGATTTGCAAAGGAACAATGGGATTAAAGTCTTTTTTTCAATTCTGTATGTTTGTTTTATAATATTTTTGCTGTGAAGAAGAGGCAGATACAAAATCACAGCTTGGAGAACTGTAAAACCAAGCATATGTGATAATATCTTCTAGACAGAAAAACATGTCTAATAATCTTACAGAAACCTCTGGAACAGCATGACATTTTGAATGGATTAATGGAATTCATCTATCAAAAAAAATTGCATGAATGTACAGCCTCATACTACGTAATTAAAAATGAATATTTATTTCATGATGAATAAGCTTTGGATTATAATGCATCTGAAACTATAGAAAGATTTTTTCCTCATAAAAACATTTTATTTTAAAAAAATCAAATTCAAATAAAAATCTGATATATAAATTTTATATTTTATTTTTTAAATCATTGATTTTTATCCACCCTGCTGCAAGGACAAATGAAGTGTGTCCCCTGTCTGATTATAATAAATAACAAGGAACTAACTGACAGTATATTAGTCATAGTTAGCCATAAATGCAACTTCCATGTTTAAGTCACACACTAAAGGGAACACATTTCTTGTATGAGTAAGTACAAGAACGACCTGATATTTAAAAGAAAGCACAGCAGTGAGTGTTTACATACCTGTAAAGTCATACACACAGTAAGTATTATAAAAAAGAGAGCCATCAAGCTAAATCCCCCAATCAGAAGCGGTCTGCGTCCAACCCGTTCTATCACTAAGCCCTGAGGGGGGAAAAATAAAAACAATGTTTTATTTTCTCACAAAATCAGTGGATGTATGCTGTCAGTTCTTGTAACTTGCAAAGTCCATGATCCTCAGGGATTCTTAAGGACACTGGATGAGTCACTCAGACCAAAATGCAGCATTTTCACAAGGTGAACAAAAAACTCTGACGCAGAACATACAAAACAAAGATCTTCATGCTGTTTCTAACTCTCCATGTGCGCAATACAGAACTAGATCACAAAATCATCCAGAGGACAATCCAATGCATAAGCACTGTTGAAATGGGACAATGGATTATGCCTGCCTTTTAGAACCAAATTAGCAACAGAAGTTGTGCAAGCAATTGCACTAAAATTCTAAATGAAACCCACTACTGTTTAGCCCAGAGTGCAATGGTGGAGCTCCACACCAACCAGAATTTGCTTCAGTTAACAATGCCCTTCTACTGCAATAGTTATAAATTATGCCCAGATAAAATGAAGTTTCTGTTTCACAGCTTGACATAAAGGTAAAGTAAAGGTAAAGGTTTCCCCTTGACTTTAAGTCCAGTCATGCCTGATTCTTGGGGGCGAAGCTCATCTCCATTTCCTAGCCGAGGGAGCCAGTGTTTGTCTGCAGACTGTTTCTGTGGTCATGTGGCCGGCATGACTAAACACTGAAGTGCACGGAACGCTGTCACCTGCCCACCGAAGTGGTTCCTTTTTATCTACTTGCATTTGCATGCTTTCGAACTACAAGGTTGGCAGGAGCTGGGACGGAGCAATGGGGACTCACCCCGTTGTGCAGACTCAAACCAGCAACCTTTCGATCAACCAGCCCAGCAGCACAGCAGTTTAAACCACTGCGCCACCTGCATCCTCAACTTGAAACATTTTCATTGAAATAACGGTTTATTAAAACATTTATTAAATGAATAAGGTTATGAAAGTTTTAACTGAACGTTTATTTATTTGGGATATTTCTAGGCCGTCCAATTACTCTGAGTTTCTGGACAGCTCACAACATCAAGTATTGATGTATCAAGTATCAAGAAGTGTTACTGTTGTGTGCATCTGATGATAGGCCAATGCATGCACCTCACTCGATTGCATGACCCTTGATGACCCTTCTGTTGCAGGATAGAGCCCCCTCCTCCCTCCACAGCTGCTGCAAAATTGAAGCTCTGTACACACAGAACTGCTTCTACTGTGCTAGAGCTCTTCTAACCCTCTCCTGTCTCCCACGATAGGCAGGGCTCTCCAAGAGTGGCCACACTCTTCTCCAGTCTGCTCCCTACATTTCTTTGTAATGTGCTGCTTTTGGAATGGTAACTTTCTAAAATGTCTGCAGCAAAACAAAATATGCCAGAGGAAGACTTTGAATGAGTCCAAATATATTTACACAATGACAGCTAGGGAATGGGAGTACTGCAAAGAAGTGCTATTTTCATCAAGGAAATTAACGTTTCAGTTCCTGTGGTCCAGTTACTCTGGCCGGAAACTGATTACATTGTGCTAATGTATCAGCGGAGTTAGGCTACTATAACCCCATGACAATTAATTTTGGCTTGCGGGGGAGAAAGGTGAAGGGACTTGGAAGAATACTTAAATACTCATTCATCTACTATGAATCTGGTCAAAAAGCCAATCTCTTACCATGGCTAATTATTACATGCTACTGTCTTTCTTGGTTCTTCCTAGCTAGCCCTTCATCAAAGATGTTTCTCATTTCCACGAAAGGAGTTTCCTATCAGTCCTGTAAGCTGATAGACTTGATAAGCAAGCACAATGGTCTTGAACTTCCAATGCACAAGTCATTGAGAGTTAACTGCCTCGCTCTTGGACTTTTCGCCATTGCATACAAACAACCAATCAACCAATCGGTTAACCTATTGGTTTGTTTGAATAATATCTCAGCAACCTACAAAGGAACCAACTGTGTATTGCTGAGTAAAAGCAGAAAATACAAAGTAGGCTGCATGTTCTCTCCCGCTTGTACATGACAACCCACCAGCAGTCTATTTGATAGGTTGTTAGGTGTGAGCAGCCTCTTTGTGCTGAGATGAGATCATGAGGTTGGTCTGCCATCTGTGGAATAGTTCCTTCTAAACATCACTATTTTGGGGCATTATTGATGTAGATGCTGCTAACATTGCTATGGGTCCTAGAAGCAAGTCTATTGTGCTTTGTTTTCTGTCGCTTCAAACTGCGTAGATTTACTGTTGGTTTTGTTAGTGAGAGCCAGGTACTTCCAGCTATGGTATGGCTGCAGGTCTTGGTGAAGGAAGCAGGACAAATAATCAGGTCTGTGCAAACTCCCACTCTTTTTCCATTCAGAATTACTCTGCTTGTCCTATCTACAAGACAGCCTTTAGGTTAGAGGTGGGCAAACTACTGTTCCTAAATGTTGCTGGACTCCAAATTCCATCAGCCTTAGATAGCACAAGAAATGGCCAGGGATGACAGACATTGTAGTCCAACAGCATTTGGAGGGCCATAGGTTCTCCATGCTATAAGCCAGCATTACACAAGAAAACATTATCTTGGATCATCCTGAATGCTGGTGCTGACCTGGTTTGCATTGCTAAGAGCTGGATGGGTGACATGGGCTTAGTTAGTCCCACCTGTCTAGTTCTCTGTATAGAACCAACACAGATTTGATGTTCTGGGAATGAAGGCAAGGCAAGTCACACTAGTTTACAGAATGTTATTCTCCATATTCAAGTTCACTGTCTGGTAGACCTCCAATTTAAAGTGTTAGTACCTGGAATTGGGCACCCAGAACAGGGTGGGGGTTATATTGGTGTGCTGATCATTACATTACCCTAAATCTCATTTCTTATTATTTCAGATTTGGAGAGGAAGTTTCCCAGGTTTTTGCTCCTAGGGAACTTTAAGATGTAGTTAAGGCTCAGGACTTTGGAGCCATCATGACAACCATGGGTTTGTCCCTCAATATTACCAACTTGACAGGTTTGGTACAGCACGTTTTAAATCTTGGGTTTTCTTTATTTTATTATATTTATTTCATTTCTATACTGTGCCACAGCTGAAGCTCTTTGAGTGAGGTGGTGAATTGTGGGTGAAAGGACATTCCGCAGCCCCCTTGCCATGAATGGATAATTTCTTAGAGAGGTTTATACTTTCAGTGGGCATGTCCATCTGAAGGACGGGAAGCCAGTTAAATTGATCTGCCCCCAGAAACTGATTGCTTCAGATCATTTCCCGCAAGAACTTCCTCAGCTGTGATGGCTGGCACTCCTATTGAACTCTTACCAGAGTATGGAGATGACCAGGCAAAGACACACACAATGATTGTTCCATTCAACAGAGCACAAACAGCACCTATAACACTTTGGACAATGGTTTGAAGAGAATTAGAGAAAAACTTGGGTTAAAGCTGATCAAACTCAGGCCTGGGCTTACTTGGAAGTCCACTGGAGGAGAGTGCTGCACCAAAGAAGAAAATACATTCACATGACCCCAGAGAGCCCACTTTATGCCAACCCCAAGGGTCTGGAATCATACAGAACCCCCAATAGACCATTGTGACTTTGTTATTTATTTATCTATCATATTTATATATACCCACCCCCAGTCCATTGGGCTTTCTGGGTGGTTTATAATTTCAAAAACATATTACAATAATGCAGTTATACTTAAATAAAGAAAAACAATAAACCACCATTCAGCAATTAGAATAAAAATTAATGCAGAACATAGTGGCAAGTATAGCAAAAGCAAGATTAAAGCAGATAGCAAGACTTCTGGCAGATAAAATGGTGGTGAAACCTGGTGCTGAAAAGAAAACAAGAATGGTGCCAGGTGCACCTCCTTGAGGAGCAAGTCCTGAAGACAGTGCAGCCTCGGATACACTCATCATAGCACTTACTGAGAAAACAGCGGCCAAAATCTCAACAGCTCCTGTGCTTAAGGTAACGTATGGGATCATTTCCTGACTTAGTCCGGCTCCCTTGAAAATATCATTTGTGTAGAACCAAATCTGTAACAAGAAGTCAGTTTTCAGTTACACAATTCAAAAATGATTTTTCAGTATCTAATTAAAATTTAGATCTACATACATTTCATGCCTCAATAATGATGAACAGGGGGAGGACAATAAATACATATTTTAATATGTTATTTTGAGTTTATCCTACTCCAGTATATTAGCATAGGGCTAAATCTAGAAAACATATACAAACATGGCCACAGTGAGTTTGATCAAGGTTGGCGCTCAGACAAAATAGGGGAGAAAAGGGGTGAAAAACATGGCTGCCACTTACCCCTGACCCTGATGGGTCCCCCCACAGTTGAGGGATCAAACATTCCTCTCTAGAACCTCATGACAAGGGAGAGAAAAGTGAAATTCCCCCACAGTGCCAGGCCTGCCAGGCACAAAGATGGAGAAAAATCAAAAGGAAGAGCCAAGTGAGTAGTTTGCCAAGTGACTCTGGTTCTCGTGCTCCCCAGTCCAGGCGGCTGCCCTCTGACTCTGGAGCTGGGGGGAGTCAATTGTGGGGGAAGGGGAAAATGACCCACCAGGCTGCCCTCCAACTGCAGCCGGACTCTCTCTCCCACCTTCCCATGAATGTGCTCTTCTGAGCAAACTCCACTGTCACTGGAGCCACGGCAACAGAGGCTCCTCCCTAGCAAACCCCCAACCAAAAAGACAAGCATGGGGCCAACAGCAGCCCCATGTTACCCTGCAGGCAAAGGCCACAGTAAAGATGGCCAAAGCTGCTGCCTCCTCTCCCACCATGCCCAGGAAGCCTATCTTCCAGTCCTTGGTGAAGCCAGCATGAGCCTCTACTGCAGGATCAAAAAGGGAGAGGGAAAGCTACAAGAACTGCTGCAAACCCATCCACCAGAAAAAAATGGGCAGAGAGGGCCTCCTAGTGGCGGTGAGCTGCAATGACTACAAATGCAACAAAAGCGAGCAACTTGCCCTCATAAAAAAAAAGCTGAGGGCAACTGAGCTGTGACTTGCTACCCTTGAACTGACAACTTCCCCTCTGCAAAAAAGATGAAATACTAGGGGTGCAGCAACGATCTAAGGCTGAGAACTCTATGGCAAAACAAAAAGACATGAAAACACTATGGAAAAAAGCGGTAGTCACCAGTAGAGGGACTAGAAGGCAAGCTACAATTGGGGAAGTTGTGAAAATCTTGAACCGCTTCAAGATACTCAAGGAAGACTTGCGAGAACAGCTGGTGATGCAGAAATGCTAAATACTGACAAACCTTGAAAAAGGGACTGAAGAACAAGCAAATATGAGAGGCTCTACCCACCCAGACTGAAGGGCAACCAAATAGGAGAGATGCAACCCAAGCCAGCAACAATACAGAACCAAACATAAGAAATACTTGCAATAACAAAAAGAAGAGAAAAGTGCTAGTTATGGGTGACACCCTAAGGCGAGGAATGGAAAAATATGTATGTCAAGACGACCTGGGAAAATGCCGGGTGTGCAGTCTCCCTGGAGCCAGTCAGTGATATAACCAACAGATGCATGCGACTCATACAGCCCACTGATGAGAACTCCTTCCTTCTCATCCATGTGGGAAGAAACAACACAGCCAGGGGAAATACTGAGGAAATAACACCAGGCTCTGAAGCGCTAGGGTGGAAAACAAAAAGACATTGGGACCTAGATAGTCTTTTCCCCAATCCTATCAGTTCAGGAAAAAGGAAATGTTAGGGAAAGAAAAACACTCAGAGTGAATATCCAGCTACAAAAGTGATGCCAGAAAGAGAAGTTTGGTTTCTGGGAGCATAAGCTAAACTTCCTGGAGGAAGGACTACGGACTAACAATGGGCCGCGTCTCTCAAAGTACGAAAAGCACGTGCTTAGCCACAACATGAAGAAGTTCTTTAGGAGGACTTCAGACTAAATCACACAGGGGAGGGAGAAGTGCGTCAGGGCACAACATCAACTGGCAATGAGTTGTGTACCACAGCAGAGGAAAAAACCTCAAATACGGATGAACAACAGTATCCCAAAAAATGCAGGAAGACAGCGAGGTCACAGCCCAAATGAACTGTGATGTCTCTATACCAACACCCAAAGAATGGGAAACAAACAACATGAACTCAAGCTCCAAGTACATGAGGGCAATCACAGCTTCATAGCAATAACTGAAACTTGGTGGGACACTCTCATGAGCGGAATTCAAAAATAGATGGATACAACCCCTTCAAGAAAAACAGAAGGGACAAAATGGGAGGCGGGAACACACGATACATTAAAGACACTTATACCTACAATGAATTACAGGAGGAGGAGCCAAATAGTCACCTACAGAACATCTGGCACACAGGGAGCAAAAAACAAAAGGAGCAGTTATTGGCATCTATTATCATCCACCTAATCAGAGGACATTATCTTCAAAAAACAAATTGCCAAGTTCTCCACCTAGGGGGAAAACAAATGCAAGATAAGGAATACTTGGCTCAACAAGACTGGACAAAGACAAAAGCCTTGGAGTTGTTGTAGACAACAAGTTAAATGTGAGCCAGCAACATGATGCAGCCACAAAAAGGGCAAATGCAATTTTGGGATGCATAAAGAGAAGAACAAGAGAGGTACTAGTTCCCCCTTACTCTGCACTAGTCAAACCTCACCTAGAACACTGTGTTCTGTTTTGAGCACCCAAGTTTTTAAAAGGTGCAGAAAAACTGGAAAGAGTTCAGAGGAGGGCAACAATGATGATCCAGGGTCTGAAAACTAAGCCCTATGATGAGAGACAGAGACAACTGGGCATGTTCAGCTTGAAGAACAGAAGACTGAGAGGGGATATGATAGCCCTCTACCAATACCTCAAAGGCTGTCACAAAGAGGAAAGAAAAGATCTCTTCTCACTCACCCCTGAGTGTAGAACACAGATCAGTTAACTTAAACTACAGCACACCAGATTCAAGCTAGACACCAAAAAACCCCCAAACAAAATACTTCCTAGATGTTAGAGCAATACGACAGTGGAATCAGTTGCCAAGAGAGGTTGTGGTCTCTGCCACATTAGGGATATTCAAGGTGAAACTGAACAGTCATCTGAGTGGGATGTTATAACTTGGTGTCCTGTACCAAGAGGGGGTTGGACCTGATGGCCTACTTGGCCCCTTCCAACACTATTCTTCTATGAAAATCTGTGAATCTATAAAAACCAGCCAAATAATTGGCTATGCTGCCTGACAACCAATAAATACATCTGGACCCTAAATCTTTCCCATGACATTTATATAAACTTGTTTCACAACCCCCTACACAAATGGCTTAACATGACTTTTTAAAGGTTCAAAACCAGAATTAAGTGTCTCCTATACGTCATTCAACCTTTGACTATCTCCTGTACTGAATGAACACTACCCCAATTCTGTGATTCCTCCACCACACACATTCTGCTAGAGGCCTAGATTTCTATCTCCTATGCAATTTTCAAGCACTTTAAGCACAAACCTTGAAAAAATCTGGTTTATTTCACTGTACATGCCATTTTCTTATCACTTGTAAGTGTAATTATACACAGCGCTACTCTAAAAAGAGTAGGTGACAAGATAATTCCATGTCTTTTCTCAGTAAAATATCCGCAACAGGGAACAGAACAAGCTTGTCATTAGTACTGAAATCCTGCTGTTAGTAGCAAACTACACTTCTTGTGGGATGTATTTTATAGGTTTATTGAAGGAATGATGAGATGTATTTTTCAACTTAGAGCAGACAGTGAAGAGTTTGTCAGTAACATTTAATTAACTCTTTGACTGATACTGCAGAAAGTTACTGAATTTCCTGACAAACAAGAACAAAGGGCTTTGTGAGGGAAAGAAGATATCTTAAAAATAATAGTCATGCCATATGCACCTTCTGAGACAATCTGGCCAGATTAAAAGAACTGGCATTTATTAAGGTAATATAATCCATTCCAAAATGGCAAACTGCACAGGGATGGATAAATAATGCTAAGATATCTAAAAGTTAAGTATCTATTACTTGTTGTGGTGGTGGAAAGACCTGGACCTGAAGAGGAAGCACAGGGTTTTTCCTACATGGGGATTGATCACAATATAGAACAGTTTAAATGATGTGTAAAAACAGGCTTGGTTGAGCACACTTCTCATGGTATCGCTGAATTATTGTTTAAATGAGTACATTCATTGTTTGCAGTTTGATTTCGCATTTCCATGTGTAAGTTCCTTTGAAGACCTGATTAGGTGAGAGGTGATTTTACCAGCAAATGCACCAAGATGTAGACTGGTGAACTCGCCAAGGCTTAGTCCCATCTACAGTCCAGCCTGCCCACCCGCCCTGTCCTATGCTTCTGCTGGTGCCTTGGTTCCTCCTGACTCGAGGGAAAACAATCCCAGGGCATGGGGGAGAGGTGACTTTGTACAGTAGCATACACCACAATGGCAAAATCTCACAATTAGGACTTGACTGTCAGTGGCTCTCTTGCCAAAATAAGGTTGGTGCTATGACACAGAACTGCTAGGTTTAATGCAGTCCTCAATACCAACATGACCCTGGATTGTGACATAGCCGATCTGCTTGTTTCGCATTCTACTCTTTCATTCTACTCAAGCTTCCCTGGTGTGCATGCAATTCCAAGCTCCTTCTCAAGACGGTTTGCTTGCAAAATTGTGCTGCATCATCTATTGAGTAAAGGAACTTCAAGGCATGGCCCACCTCTCCACTTTCCACTTCCCTTCCTATGTACATTCACGCAGCCCTTCTGCCTTACTATTGGCCTGAGAGGCTGTCGGAGCCTAAGAGAAGAGCATGGAGCTTCACCAGTGTTGGCAGCAGTGCTGGCAGGGTGAGGCAGGAAAGGGTTAGGCTGTGGCAAGCTCCGAATCGGTGGATGCAGCACAGAGCCATTGCAAACTAACTGGGAAGCGGATCTAAGGAGATAGGAGGACTTACGAGCCACTTTAGTGACTTATTTAGGATATTTAAATGCCACCTCTGATTACATGATGCTACACTATGACAAACATAACTCCAAAATGAAATCAAAATAAAAACGCAGCAGCAGGTAAAGCAACCAACAGGACAATTTGGAAACAGCAGCAGCACTGCATCCAGACAGAAGAGAACAGCACTGTCTTTGTATCCTGTCTAAAGAATTGCAGTGAGGGAAGATGATGGTGATGTTTTTATACTCTGTCCTTCCTTAAAAGTTCATGGCTGCTAACAAAAAGAACCTATAGACACAATAAAATACCAGAATGTTGTAAAAGAAAATCAAAGCACCATTATAAATGGATAGTAGGAGGGCATTCCAGAAATGAGATGGCATGATCAAAGTGGCTCTATTCCTCCCGGCCAGCTGCCTCAGTTCAGAATGGGGAGATTCCCTGAGCAGGGCCTCTGAAAAAGGGTTGCACAAGCTCACGAGGGAGCAGGCAATCCTTCAGTTATGCTGGTCCCAAACCAGCTGGGGCAGCCGTCCCCAGCTTGGTGGCCTCCAGGTGATTGGATGACAACTCCCATAATTTCTGGCCACCAACAATGCTGGTTTGGGATTCAGGGCAGTAAGGGTTAAAAACACTGCCTTAAATTTTATCCTGAAACAAACTGATAGCCAATTCCAGTGTAGCTTAACTACTGAAAAGCTATGGTTCATATTATAATTGTTAATTAGCAGGCAAGTGGCTGTATTTTACAGCAGTTGCAATTTTTTTCTTCAAAGGTAGCTCTGGTAGAGCACATTGCGGTAATCCGATGTTAATGTTATTGTATATCTGCTGCCGGATCTCATTTTTCTGGGGTTCAACATATAAGAGAATTTGTCACTACCAGGAAGAATGGGAAACCGAAGTGCTTGGCTCAATGGCATAAATCAGGACTCATCAGGAGCTACATTATCTATTGGCTATATTGGCTATGGATGCATATGGATATATTTCACATGTTCGTGCGAGTGTCCAGGCTTTCAGCATGAAGATTCCACTGCAGAGGCCCTCCCAAGTACCAGGCTCTCCAGGTTGGCACAGTGCAGGCCCTGGTAGAGAGTTGTTCATTGCCTGCTGTGCTATTGAAATGGATCGGTCTCTATTACCTGCAATGTGTGTGGGGAGAAAAAAGCTTCCACTGGAATACTCAAGGGCAAACTATACGACTAGTATCAGATCTGTGGACATCACCAAAAGGTTCTGCAAACATCCTACAAATGTTTTAAACAGAACAAATGTGACCTCCAAGACATAAAATATATCTGCCAACAACATACTGAATAGAACTACTTACAGCATTAAGGCCACAGAGTTGGTAGCAAGCCATGGTTGCAATGATGGTCAGAATCTGCCATCGCTTACTACAATCACGCAGCAGCTGAAAGACCGAAGCTACTTGGATGTTTCTTTGCACTCGACTCTCTTCCAAAACTTCTGCTATCTCATATGACACATCCGTTCTCCCAAGGAAGGTCTGAAATGCTGCAAACCACAATTTATACTTGTGTTTGAAATGCAGATTGTTTTCTGCATGCTAAATCAGTATTATTCAGAACAAAACACTTAATTTATTTAAACTGAATATGTAATTTGGACCATACATTTCCCCCTTTCTGGGTAACAAAAATTGTTGCAGAGCCTTGTGTTTGTATACCTTACAGCAAGGACTTCACACATAGATATAGATGCACACATTCATATCAAACAAGTTTAAGAATACAAGAAAACTTTGGAATGCATCTGAGAGAATGGCCCAACTCATGAAATAACACTTGGATCACTTATATTAATATCACTTCCATTTCATTTATATCTAGTATATATGCAGGTCACTCTCCGAGGTACTGGAAAAATACAATATCCAATGGCATATTCGATTTAAACACAGACATTTTGCACTGTCTTCATAAATACAGTCCAGCCTTCCCCTGTCCTCTCTTCCCTTCAATGAAAAGGCAAGCCTCACGTCTTGTAGGCCAGTATTTTACAGCCCTCTATATTAATTATACTGTAAATTATACCTGCTGATTATCAGCATGTAATTTATTAGTCAAGTTTCCCCTGGCAATGTAAAAGGGACTTAGTAGAGATGGGAAAGTTCTTGTGCATAGTCAACATGTAGATGATGACGACCTTCCCAATTTCTGCACAATGTCAGGACAAGGGCGGGTACAAATATAATACTGTACATGTGTGGGCATTTCATGTGATGATGGGCTCTCTGTGTCCAGGGTTCTATTACGCGGAGAGCCTAAGTGCCTACAGTTTACCCCTCCACATGTCACATTGAATGCATAGATCTTGGGCCCATGAGAATGCACAAAGCATCGGGGTGAATCAAGCAGGCACCATTCCATTTCCCACTCCATGCATTTTGCAAACATCTGAAAAGAACTAAGTTCTCCTTACTTTCCAGCAGCAAATTAAGTCAGAATAGATATGGGAAAGTATATAGAAGTTTTACATGGTAAAACCTATAAACAGTAAAACCTATCTTTAAACTGAATGAAGCAAGTCAAAAAGAGTGCATGTTATACACCGATTTTTGACAAATTTGAGCCATCTGAATGAATTGGTAGAGACAGAAATGCATGAGGACTGATACAGAGCATTACTGACTATGGCAGATTTCTTTGCTTACAAGATTTTCAGATCTTAATCTCTCAGTTTTAAAAGAACAAAGACTGCAAAACAATGGGGTGTGCACACTTTCATCAGTGTACTTAGTTTTTAAGCCACAGGGATCAGAATTATAACAATGAAGAACACAAAAGCACAGTACCCTTTTCTGCTGCCTTTGTGTCATGTTTTTCAAGCAAGAGGAAGCGAGGACTTTCTGGAAGAAAAGGCAAGACTCCAATTTGGACAAGTGATGGAACAATGATGATTCCAAATAGGTAGGGCCACAGGGATTCCTGGAAAAAAAAAGAACAGCAAGTAATGGATACGTACACAACGTATTTGTGCTACTGTTGTAAATCAACCGACAGACAGACAGAAACACCTGAGAGGGTTCAGAGCAACTATGCTTGCGGAAGGTCCCAGGTTTCATCACTGCATCTCCAGTCTAAAAAATGGATAAGAGAAAGCAGGACAAGGTCACTCTGCTCTGAGGTCCTTGAGGGCCCCTGTCAATTGTGTGGGCCACACAGGGGAAAGTCTAGCTCAGTGTAAGGGGGTTACTGAAGTCTGATTTTGGCACATTTTTTCTCTGAGAGAGTATTCCAAAGTTATGGTGCCAGGACCAGAGGTTGTTCTAGGTGTGCCCATCTATTTGTCTTTCTCCACAGATGGAACATACAGTATTTCCCCCAACTATGAACCTCATAAGTGATTACTGACCCCTGGATTGTTACTGGAAGCTAGCTAAGCTAAGAAAAGTGGGAGAGCACCAGCTGTGCAAGGGGACTGACTCCCGGTAGGAGGTAGGCAGTAAGGCACCAGTCCAGCCTTGCGAATGCTTATACCCCACTGAAATCTTCTGTAGCTCACTTACATGCACACATTTAAGTTAATAGCCACAAGCACGTCAATAGCCACAAGTCTCTTTCAGTTTCCATAAAATTCCCCTAAAGGAAAACTGGAGGTTAATCTTGCTGCAGAAGAAAGTCAGGGGAAGAACTAAACATAAGCCAGCAGTATTGCAGCTTATATGCACTTTTCAAGGGCAGATTACACTGAAATAATTGGTCAGGGTGGTTAACAAATTATGAATAAGAACAGTAGGATTCTATTTATTAATTTAATTTTTATACCACCCAATAGCCAAAAACTCTCTGGGCAGTTAATAAAAGTTAAAAACATGTAATCAAGGAGAAAAAGGGAACGGCATATGAAACACAAAAACAATAAAACCACAGCAGTTGCAATCAAACTGGCAGAGGTATAGCAGCAGTACAAAACTGAAAGGCAGTATAACTAAGATTAAAAGTTAATTGTTAAAATTCTGGGAGAATAAAAAGAATTCCTAGATATCCTCCCAAAAGGTAGTACTGGTGTGTCACATCCGACAGGAAAAGTATTCCCATGTATGTGTACACACATCATCACGCACACACGTGTGATCTAGATGCTCCCTACACAACTGTTCAACTGTCTCACTTGTTACTAACATTTCGATTTTTTAGATTACAAGAAAGTCCTCATGGGTTCTCTCTTCATGAATTATTTGTGGTGGACAAACTGTGGTTGGTTAGCATGGCTGACTTCAGACAACACAATAATCCATGGTTCAGCCCTAATATTTGGGCTGAAATATTACCCCCAAGTGCATGTGCAAAAGGCCTGTAAATGTTAACAGAATTTACACACAGAATTTACACACAAGTCTGAATGGGTTAGTTAGAGGCACTTTGAGGACATTGAGAAAAAACATATTAATTGTACTTGAAAACTGTTTTTTAAATATGGTAACATATAAAGGTTTTCTTTCCAGTCAGTACACAACAGCATGCTTTCATGACTACAACTGATTGTTGAATTTGGTATTATTTCCCAAACAAATGTTTAAATATTCTATAGGGCAATAATTTTACAGATTATTAAAATGTGGTAGCAACTGTCTTTCTCACTATCTCTCCCACTTTTCCCTTGCCAAGAGGCATTCCAGCTCAGTGGTTTTTATCTAAAATACATTTATTGGTTCAAAACCTCTGAGATCCAAATCAGAAATGTGCCATAATATCATCATTTTTATTCCATTATTAAAAGCAGTATTAGTCATATGTGACAGAGCCAACAGTTAGACAAGCTGTCTCACGCTCCTCTATCCTTCCATTAGTATCATTTTATACCTTTCAAAGGCATAAAGTGGTGCGTAAGATATTAAAATTCAATAAAATGCTTCTCCAGTTTTTGAAACTGAAAATTTTTGAAATCCTCCTCTTTTGACACTGAGGCCCAATATTGTTTCTTTTTGAGAAATTTTAAAACCATATTTATTTATTATAATTATTGCCGAGTTTCAGATGATTTGGGGCAACTTGTTCAACAAAAGTATTAAAATTCATGAATCTGTAGTTCATAATTTATACTATCACAAATTATATACAGGAAGTCCCCTACATGCAAACCTTCAAGTTGTGAACTTTCAAATATGCAAATAGGTAAATATGCCTTTGTGTACTTTACTGTAATAATTGAGAGGTGAGCCCAGCAAAGCGTAACACAGGTCGCACCAACCTAACAGTGATGCCAAAAGAGGAAGAACCCATCAGATGAACAACACGGATGCACTTCTGCACTGCAATGTACGCAGAAGTATACCTTCCAGAAGTCCTCCAGCGGTGTTATAAACCTACTACAGTACAGTGCTATACAGCCAATTGTGTTAGTTGGGTACTTAGAGTAACTTTGTTGAACTTATGAACAAACTGGGCTTAGGAACATGCTCTCAGAATGGAACTCGTCCATACGTAGGGAACTTCCTGTACTGCCACAAAGAAAAGGAAGAATCAGAGTGATTTATGCCAAAAGTATCTTGTAGTATAAGAAATTGAGCTAGGCGGAAATTATATACACCATTTCTCAACGTTCTATCACATTCAACTGTAACTGAAGCTTAGATCACAGGATGTCCTACGTAAAAATATGGACAATGGCTGGAACCAATAAGAAAAGGTTTTGTCCAACCTGAATGATGTCATCCTAATTCACCTGTTTCTCCTATATAAATGACTAGTTGCTATTTACACCAATTTCTAAAAAATTAAACCAATAAATGAATGGTTCAAATAATGTTGAACAAAAAACAAACCCCTTGAAGTGGGGTTGCCTGGCTGCCACTGCTGATGTTCCTACCACACACTCCCTTTTATATGCCTAGCTATTCCTTAAATATTTAATTCAGGCATGAACCTCCAATTCGTCCTTGCTATTTTGCTTCTTGTCTGATCTGGTGGCACTCTTTTATGATCACTAGGCAACAGCCATTAGAAGCACCCGAAAATTAATTGATCCAATTAATTGGCTACCATTTTGGATTCATTGGCTCACTCTAATGCATTCAGAACTGGCTTAGCTTTACAGCTATCACTCATGCTTGACCATCTCAATGTACTGCAGGAATCAGTCTAGGTGTACAACCTGAGCAAGTCATTAAGTCATTCTAAATTCTTGTTTATCCAGATCGTTCAAGCCAGTTTCAAACCAAACAAGTGTGGTTTAAGAAACCAAGATGTGCACAGCAGGAGAGGAAGGGAGGGGACAGGCATGTGCATGATTTATTCCTGGTCCAACAAGCCATATTTTCTTAGACAAGGATTGTTACTTCTGAACTGAGACATTCTTTCACAATAACTGTCAGTTTATTTTAGTAAATCTGCTTATGATTTAAGTATCTTTTTGTTATTCTAATGAAGTTATGCTTTAAAAATATTTTGGGCATTTTTGACAGTACAGGACAATATCTGACTGGTCAAGTGATCAATTGTGGGTTACTGGGACTCATAAGGGTTAGTTCTCTCCACCATGGTTATAGCTTGTTGTAGGGGTGCCTTCTTCCTCGGCTTGAGAGGAAAAATCAGGCCCAGGTGATCATTATGAGAATTTCCTTGACATGACTCATGGCTATGCCCAGAGATTTGATTGTTTGCTCTTTGGTGGGACATCCATTGAGAGGTTTCCTCCAAGGATGCTACAACTTGTTGAACAACTCTTCTTTAACCATTGGTCCTGAAACAGCATAAAAAGATGCCTATTCTCCATTTGTCAAACACAGAGTGAGTCAGGGTTACCAAACTCTAATAGCTTGGAGGGCAAGACTTCCCCTAAAAACATTTTTCATTTGAAGAGGCAGCTAGTAGTAGGGGTGATGGTTAGCTTTCAGTGCCACCACTCAGCATTCATCCTTAACACTGTGTTTCCATATATTGCTTGCCTTACTAGCTCTTCCCCAAGTAACATCCTGTTCACCTGCAGGTAAGCAACCACCTGCAGCTGCAAAATATTTTCACATGCCAGAACAACAACCCCCACTGCAAAATGGACATCCGCGTCATCAGTCTATCTGCCATTTCACTTATTTCCCTTTAGCCATGAATGGCAACATCTACATTCCTTGCATAGATGATTTTGATAGAATGGGGAATGGGCTAAAGTTGAGACATGCAATTGCAGGCATTTATTCATAGGTCAGGTGCCTCGCTCTACATACTTCCTTAGCTGTAAAGATGGAGAATTTGAGTGGTGCTGTATGAGCTGCACTGGGGTCGTCTAAGTGACTGTCAGACCCACCCTCCTTCCTGCCCATTTGATAGACCTGGAATGGGCTGATTTCATAAGAGATTTTGAGGGACAGTCTCACTTTGTGGCAGGAAACTGCAACGAGAAGAGTATTTTTAGTTGCTAACATAATTGACCTCATAATGTAACTTTTCCAATTCTATACATTTACTATATAAGGACACAGAAGATTGATGTTAGACTATCATGCATACCAAGAGAGGTCAATGGTAAACAATTTAATATAACAGAGGTATTTACTCAAAGTAATAGTGCCATCCAGTGGCCATCATATCTGCTGCAGTTCAAGGCATTCTGAATCCAATGCTTGCACTTTCTAATGGGTAAGGTCAGGGCTTTTTTTGTCATCGAATGCACGGGAATGGCATTCCGGCACCTTTTTTTCCAATGGATTTTATGAAGTGATTTCGAATCGCCTGTCGGCGGCGTAGCAGGTCAGCAGCAAACATCATTAACATAGTGCCTGCGGGCTGCTTTTGTGTCCGCGCCTCCCGGCTTGGGACGCTGCTCAGCTTGGGATTGGTGTGTGTGATCACGTGCCGGCAGCGACATGAGTTCCGGCACCTTTTTTTTTTTTAACCAAAAAAGCACTGGGTAAGGTGATATGACAAAAAATATTTCACTACTCATTTCGACAAACAGAATTTGAAGGGCTTTATAACGCTTCAAACTGTGCAAGGGTATTTCCCTGACAAAAGGTTGACAAGGAAATATGTACACACCCAGAACAATAATACTACTTTCAGCTCTCTTAGAAGCTATCATTTCTCTGAAACCTAAATCTTGAAATAGTTTTTTACATTTTCCACACTATAAAATGTATAATAATAAGTACATACATAAATAAAATTAGAACATGTGTTTTGCTTAATACTGGACCGTTTTTCTTTTCTATACAACAGTTATACAATTCTATACAACACCATTCAAAAGTTACAAATCCCAAAGTATACAAGGCCTTAGGATCACTTCTGAACCCCGAATCCTGGGTTATTTATTCAGCTGCAGAGGTGGCTGATAATAATTGCTTTTAAAAAAAGCCCAATACTATAGTACTGCACAGGGATTTGGGATACAAGGATTCAGAGGAGAGTTGAGGGGGAAAAACAAACAACCCAGGGATTCAGAAAGCAAATCATGTTTTGTTAGTTCAACTTAGGTAAAGAAACAAATCATGGGTTAAATAAACCATGAGTTAGTGTTATTTGTCAAGAAACTAAATTTGTTATCTTCAGAGTTACTTTTCATTCAATGTACAGTGGTACCTTGGCTCATGAACACCTCAGTTCACAGTCAAATCGGGTTCTGAATAGAAATTTTTTTGACTCAGGTCGCAAACTCCGCTTTGGGTGACGATTGTGATCGTGCCCGTCTTCCCTGCATGTGTTCGACCACCATTACGCCCATCTTCCCTGCACAATTCTGCTCGAGGGCGGGGGGGAGATGGCCACGAATGTGGTCGCGCTCATGCAGGGAAGATGGGCGTGATCACAGTCGTGCTCGAGGGGAGATATGGCCGCGGTCATCGCCCATCTCCAAGCGCACCCATCTCCCCTGAGCGCGCCCGCGATCATGCCCGTCTTCCCCCCGAGTGCGCCCGCAATCGCGCCTGTCTTCCCTGCATGAGCGCACCCGCAATCACGCCCGTCTTTCCTGCATGAGCGCGCCCACAATAGCTGCCATCTCCCCGCACCCCCCTGCACGATCACTATCGTGGCCATCTTCCCCCACAGCACGATCGCTATTGCACGATTATGGTTTGGACTCTCCCTCCAAACAATAACCTCCCCTCCACCTAGGTTAGTGTTCTCTACTGTACTGTGCTTTGTTTCAATTTTTTGTGATTAAAAAAAATATTTACAGAATGGATTAACCTTATATTCCTTGAACCTCATGGGGAAATTTGACTTGGCTTGCAACCAAAATCCGCTTGCGACCACGTTTGTAGGGGTCAGAACGGATTAACCTTATTTACATTGAACGTTTTGGGGGAATTTGACATGGCTTGCGACCAATTTGCATAGCAACCAGAGTCGTGGAATGGATTAAGTTTATGAGCTGAGGTACCACTTTATTTGAGCTAAGAATATATTTTGATCCCAGTATAAAACTGCTGTAAATGCAATCCAGCTAGTTGATACATATATGTGAAAACAAGCTACCAAACAAGTACCATCAGCAACAGCAGCATTAACTATATTAGTTATGGCACAGTTAAATGGACACTGAAAAGGGTTTAGGTATATACACACTCATATAATATGCCCAAATTGGAAGGTGACCCCTCAGCCAAAAAATTTGCCAGTCCTGATAACTATCTTAATGGACTTAATCCATTTGAAAATTCTCCAGCACAAATCCCACTTAAAGGAAATAACTTGTCCAACTTCTACTAGTTTAAACTGGACTTATGCAGGAACCCTTCCTAGTGGATTATCTCATGTTTGACAATATGACAAAACCTATATGAAAAACTGGTAGGAATTTATGGCTTTGAAATTAATTTAATCAAAGATGAACAATAAATCAACTGTATCAATACAATATCAACTTAAAAGTACAATTCAGAATGTTACAAACCTTCCCAAATATCTCCGGTAGGCCCAAAACCTGTCCAGTGAAGACACCAACACAGATGAGAATTGCTGTAATTTGTCCTAATGAACCACGGATCTGCTTGGGAGAAATTTCACTCAAATACATTGGAAGGGCACTGAGAGATACACCTGTGAAATAAGTTAGAACAATAATGGTAAATTTCAGTAGAAAAGGATATAAAATCTAAAAATGAAATCCTAGTGAAAATCCTTGAACCATATATTTGGCAATGTTTGGACACAAGTATTTGGATTATAATCCAGACAAGAACAGTAAGCATAGACCAGTGATGGCGAACCTTTTAGAGACCGAGTGCCCAAACCGCAACTCAGAACCCACTTATTTATCGCAAAGTGCCAACACTGCAATAAAACCTGAATTTGCTGACCACCAGCACAAGGGGGCAACATTCCACTGATCACCAGCTTTTGGTCAGCCCTGAAAAAGGCATCTGAGTGTATTTCCTACCTTTCCTACCTTCTGCTAAAATCACAGTCCAAGGAAATCCCTGGCAGCTCACTGACTGGCCATGTGAAAGCTCTGCCAGTCGCAGCTAATGAGTGAGGTTGTTGCCTGGTGCCCTTAATCTTTCCGAATATGCGCATGGCTGCTGGGGCCGACAGAGAGGGCTCTGCGTGCCCCTTCGGGCACCCATGCCATAGGTTCGCCATCACTGGCATAGATGCATGCTTAGAAGCATATCCACTTCAAACTATCCAGGGGAAAATAAGAATCTGTGAGATAGTGGGACACAGCAGCTGAATGGTTAAGAGTATGATCTCTGACAAAAGCAGCAAATCCTTCTGCTACAAACTCAATAGCCTTTGGCAAACCACTTCTCCTTCTCACACTCAGCTGTCCCAAATCCAAATCCACATTTCAGGAAACAGGGCCATCACCGGTGGCAACCAAGGAGCTGAAGGCAGTGGAGTGGAGTGAATGCAATTACATTCAGTCTTGATAAGATAAAGGTTATGGGAGAGTGGGGACCTCAGCAGGAAAAGCCCCTTCAGGAAAAGCCTCATGGGATGGGCTGCAGTTGAGTGACAGAACAGAGGTCAGGAAAGCAACCCCAGGGGAGGGGTAAAAAGAGGTGGTGGGGACACTAAGGCAGTCAGGAAATGAGGAATGTTGAGGCTGCTTGGGCCTCCTTCCCTCCCTCTGAATCTCCATGGCTGGAGAGCCAACAATGACCATTTAGTGTGTGGGAGGCGCAGGATGCTGAAGATGGTAGCTGCCATTCCTGTTCTGCAATGGATGCCTCCAAGTCTGGGGAGTTTTGGGCATTGGGATGGGATTTTGCCCTCAGCCAGTTTGATTTGCTCTGAAGAATGTTTAGTTTTATCTCCTGGCCTCTACAAAAAGCAGGTCTTTGTGTTGTGGTTTCACTGCTTTAGCTTCCCATGGGAAATTCCGGTGGCTAATTCTTTACATGCTTTACATAGGGAAGTTCAAGCATTTCTGATTCACTGTGGCCTTCAACAATTGATTTGTTTAGGGTACTTCTACACTCATGTTTTATGAACTTTTGTTACTGGTTTTTAAAGTTGTTTGGTTTTGTATACAACTTGAAAAAGTTACTGCAAAACACTGCATCATTAAAAAAAAATAAAAATACTGATATACTTGACTGTGCTTTATGAGACTATGTATGCAAAAGAAGTGCTCAGTAGAAGTGCTTCTTGGTTTGTTTGGTTTTTTTTTAGCTTGTGTGCCCTCTCTTCTCTGAGGCTTGGCATTTAAAGGTTTTTCCATGAAATGCTAATTCTGAATCTCACAAACATCAAAAGGTTGCTTTCACAGCACCCTCTGTTTGAGGTATGACTCCAGAGAATAGCAAAGGGAACCCACAAAAAACATTTTTAACTAATATTTCTGCTATGGCCAATTAGTTGATGGTTGATAAAAGCCTAAGTTTCAATTAATGAATTTAATAGGCACGGGTCTTTAAAATCTTATAAATTAATAGCTAATTTATTCATTCAGTAAGTAGCTGAACCAGCACCATGCATACACAATAGGAAGGGATCAGCAGCTTGTAGAAGAAGAGGAAAAAAATTCTAGAAAAATGCCTTTTTGCCAGTGCTTGAGCTAACGGGGAACATTTGGCTGGAATCTTATGATAATCTGTTCTTACCGATGTCAGTTTGTTTAAGCCAAACTTGCTAGATTTTCTTAATTTAAGTACACTTGCAGAACTCTGTAGTTTTAACACAGACAGTATAATCATTGTCAGAATTATGAGAGGTGGAGTTTGCTGTAGCTCTTCTCTTTTGGGTGGGTGAAAATAAAATGCAAATTTGCCTTATATGAAGTACTAAAGTTGTGTTGTAAGTATTTCTTAAGTGATTCATAAAAACAAAACAAAACAAAAGCATTCCAGATTACTTCAGCGGATGAAAGATTCTCTGAAGGTCCACATTAAGGGCACACAGAACACGTGCAAGTATGGTCTGATCGTTGGAATTTTTTAAAAAGAATTAAGTGGACATTAGTTTGATCTAAGAAGGCATCTCTTATTTTTAAGCAAAAATGCACAGTCAAGATTACATAACAGAGACTATTTCTTAAGCAAGTCCTATTTTGTTTTGTTAGTATTAAAAAACCCAATGCATTATTGGTGTCACATGGGAATTTGAGGCAGGGCAAGGAGGAAATAGACCCTGCAAGATGGGTGAAGCTGCCCTCCTTTAGACTGAACTACTTGGGTTTAACACATGGCTCCTACACATGTAGTTTATACTGCTGTTGACATAGCTCTACTATACTCTCTAATGATGTCTTATGTAGTTTTTGCTTTTGGAAAGGCTATATGAACAATGGGCTCATGACAGCTAGAAGGAAAAGGATGCTCATGTGACTTGGGCACAGACAAACACTCTTATAGATCATCTGGGCTCTGAATAGGAGAGATCGCTCAGCATTAGTTGTTAATTGCCTACAGGACAGACTAAATCGTACCTCCATCAATGCCCATTATAAATCGTCCCAGAATAATCATTCCGAAAATTCCTGCCAGTTGAGAAAATGCCATCAACAGGGCAGCCGTAATGGCAAATATATTATTTAGCAGCAACGTACGTTTTCTGAAAAGGAACAAATTATATATTACACACTTATGACATGTTTATAATTCCAGTCAAAGAGTAGCATTTGCTAAGCCACAGTGAACTACATGTATTATTAGAAAGTTTTCAGTGTTATATATAATGGATAGAATAACCGAAAGCTTACAGCTATAATGCAAAAATGACAAGACTGAACATCAAAATCTTAGGAATCAGTGAACTAAAATGGACAAGAATGGGGGAATTTAATTCAGATGACCATCAGGTATACTACTGTGGGCAAGAATCCCTCAGAAGAAATGGAGTAGCCTTCATAGTCAATAAAAGAGTAGCAAAAGCAGTACTGGGATACAATCTCCAAAATGACAGAATGTTCTCAGTTTGAATCCAAGGCAAACCATTCACAGTAGTCCAAGTCTACGCCCCAACCACTGGTGCTGAAGAGGCTGAAGTTGACCGGTTTTATGAAGGCCTACAACACCTTCTAGAATTAACACCCAAAAATGATGTCCTTATCATCATGGAGGATTGGAATGCTAAAGTAGGAAGCCAAAAGATAACGAGAATAACAGGCAAGTTTGGCCTTGGAGTACAAAATGAAGCAGGGCACAGGCTGGTAGAATTTTGTCAAGAGAATATGATGGTCATAGCAAACACTGTTTTCCAACAACCCAAGAGACGACTCTACACATGGACATCACCAGATGGTCAACACAGAAATCTGATTGACTATGTGCTCTGCAGCCAAAGATGGAGAAGCTCTATACAGTCAGTAAAAACTAAACCAGGAGCTGACTATGGCTCGGATCATGAGCTTCTTGTTGCAAAATTTAGGCTTAAATTGAAGAAAGTAGGGAAAAGCACTTGGCCACTCAGGTATTACCTAAATCATATCCCTGATGAATATACGGTAGAGGTGACAAATGGATTTAAGGAATTAGATCTGATAGACAGAGTGCCTAAAGAACTATGGACGGAGGTTCGCAACATTGTACAAGAGGTAGCAACTAAAACCATCCCAAAGTAAGAAATGCAAGAAAGCAAAATGGCTATCTGAGGAAGCTTTACAAATAGCTGAGGAAAGAAGGGAAGTGAAAGGCAAGGGAGAAAGGGAAAGATACACCCAACTGAATGCAGAATTCCAGAGAATAGCTAGGAGAAATAAGAAAGCCTTCTTAAATGAACAGTGTAAAGAAATCAAAGAAAACAATAGAATAGGAAAGACTAGAGATCTCTTCAAGAAAATTGGAGATTTTTCCAAGGGAACGTTTCCTGCAAAGATGGGCATGATAAAGGACCAAAATGGCAGGGACCTAACAGAGGCAGAAGGGATTAAGTAGAGGTGGCAAGATTACACAGAAGAACTATACAAGAAAGAGCACAGCATCCCTGATAACCACGATGGCGTGATCACTGACCTTGAGCCAGACATCCTGGAATGTGAAGTCAAATGGGCCTTAGGATGCCTGAGCAACAACAAAGCTAGTGGAGGTGACAGTATTCCAGCTAAGCTATTCAAAATCTTAAAAGATGATGCAGTAAAAGTGCTACACTCAATATGCCAGCAAACTTGGAAAACTCAACAGTGGCCACAGGATAGGAAAAGGTCAGTTTACATTCCGATCCCAAAGAAGGGCAATGCCAAAGAATGTTCAAACTACCGCACCATTGCACATGCTAGCAAAGTTAAGCTCAAAATCCTGCAAGCTAAACTCCAGCAGTATGTGGACCAAGAACTACCAGAAGTACAGGCAGGGTTTCGAAGAGGCAGAGGAACTAGAAAGCAAATTGCCAACATATGCTGGATCATGGTGAAAGCTAGGGAGTTCCACAAAAACATCCACTTCTGCTTCATTGACTATGCTAAACCCTTTGATTGTGTGGATCACAACAAAATGTGGCAAGTTCTTAAAGAGATGGGAATACCAGACCATCTTATTTGTCTCTTGAAAAACCTGTATGTGGGTCAAGAAGCAACAGTGAGAACTGGACACGGAACCACTGATTGGTTCAAAATTGAGAAAGGAGTTTGCAAGGCTGTATACTGTTGCCCTGCCTATTTAACTTATATGCAGAGCACATCATGAGAAAGGCGGGGCTAGATGAATCACCAGTTGGAATTAAGATTGCCGGGAGAAATATCAACAACCTCAGATATGCAGATGATACCACTCTTATGGCAGAGGAACTAAAGAGCCTTTTGATGTGGGTAAAGGAGGAGAGCGCAAAAGTTGGCTTGAAACTCAACATCAAGAAAACTAAGATCATGGTATCTGGTCCTCTCATTTCCTGGCAAAGAGATGAGGAAGAAATGGAGGTAGTGACAGATTTTATTTTCCTGGGCTCCAAGATCACCACAGATGGGGACTGCAGCCAAGAAATTAAAAGACACTTGCTCCTGGGGAGGAAAGTTATGGCAAATCTAAGCATTCTAAAAAGCAGAGACATCACCCTGCCGACAAAAGTGCGTATAGTCAAGGCTATGGTTTTCCCAGTTGCAATGTATGGCTGTGAAAGCTGGACCATGAGGAAGGCTGAGTGCTGAAGAACTGAGGCCTTTGAATTGTGGTGCTGGAGAAGACTCCTGTGAGTCCCTTGGACTGCAAGGAGATCAAACCAGTCAGTCCTAGAGGAGATCAACACTATTGGTGATTTTTCCCTAGAGTTATTCATGGTTTTTTTCCATTTTCGTGGGGGTCCTGTGTCTCTAAGCCCTGCAAACGTGGAGGGCTGACAGTCAACTTCAGTTAAGTGAAATGGCAGTAACTGAGACAGTGGATACAGAGGTCCAGCTGTATATTTTGGCTGCCTTTGTTGAAGTCTATACATGATCATCTCTAATAGTGGTAGTCTGTTTTGCCAAACATTAAATATGGAGCGGTACCCCCACCCCCAACACACACACACTAATGATTTCAATCAAGCTTCATGTAAAAAACTTTCTTTTCTTTTTTTATTCTGTTTGAATTTTTTGAAACTCAATGAAAAAATAACTAGACAAATAATGCACCATTGCAAGCGTGGTACAGTTTTGTTAAAGTTGCTAACCTTGTCCTGAGGAAAAGACAGAATGGTCTAATTCACCTGACAGAAGTCCTGATTCAGATTGGGACTCTGGTGATTTTGGAAGGGGAATTTTAAGTTTCTCCCTCTGATTTTTGTCTCTTACATAAGAAAGTAGTTCATTAATAAAAGGCAATAAAAATAATAATAAATCAGAAACAAGACCAGATTTTAACCTGTAAACAACCAGCTTATCTTTTGCAAATATGCAAGAACAATTATAGAGTTATATTCTACACACTTGTGTTTGGTGTTAATGTGCTCTTAATAAAATTAGCTTGGGAAATACATCATCTAGGCTTCTAAATCCAGGAGTCGGAATACTAGGGTTCTTTTTGTATAGTATAAAGCATGCTCTTTTTGTAGTATAATAAATCAAAAGAAAGAAAAAATAAGCAAACATACACAATTCACAGCTCTTTCTTCTATGCTTACCGGCCAAAATATTTGACAGCAGGAGTAACAATCAACGCACCCACAAGTCCACCGATGGCAAATATAGAAACGGATATAGTCCAGAGCAGCGTAACAGACTGTTCTGTTATTGACTGGTTATAGCTTCTTTCCCAACTTTCATTGTAAAACTTCTTGATGAACTATAAATAAAAGACAGATTTTAAGTGATAAATAAATGCTGGCCAGTGTGGATAAGTAGCATTTTTCATCAACATTTTAAAGAATTGCAGCAGATGTATTTTATTTAAACTAGATTTTTAAATTATTCTCATTATATTAAGTAATCTTTCAAAATTTAGCCAACTAATAGAACGCAAACTAATATACTGGAGTCAACACTTATACATTCCAATCCAATGAAGCACCTGGGAAGGCCCACAAACATCCCTTTCTTAGAAGCTAGAATGGCTGTGAGTTATTAATATGGGAAAAATAAAATAAACCTCTATAGTTGGGAACACATTTGTGGAGAGGATCAAACTTGCCACCATCCCAGTCGCCAGTAGCCCAGTGTAATAAAGTAACTTTTACAGATGATTCAAAGGTGTGGGGAGAGAGCCACTGTCTTCAAGCCATGTACAATCAACAGAACATATGTAGAGAATCCCTCAAATACAGGTATAGGAATGGAGGGCTCTTCTTCAGATGACGAGGCAGGAACCCTGCCAAATAAGTGGCCATAAAGTCTACTTGGACTGACAACAAATGGTGCTGCATCTATGCATTCTCCTTAGCCTTTTAGTTATGGTGAGGAAAAAATGGTCTCCTTATAGTTCTGACTCATGTGAAATTATTAGAAGAGCCACCCACTGAGAGACAGAATTCTCTCCTGTGCAACACCACCTACATACCACAGCTATTGACTCTGAGAAACCTTTTGAAGATGGATCCTTGACAACAAGCAGACAATGCTGAAAATCCATCAGTGGTGGCACTGATTGTGTCATTCCTACCGCTTGAGGTTTAGTTTTAAAGTTGCTCCAAAAATAATACCAGGGAATTATATGCAGCCAATACAAATAACCTGGCATTTGGACATTCGGATTTCCACATGACACTCATTAAATTAAAAAACATGTTTAAGAAATCCAAGTTACAAAACAGCACAACATCCAGAGCTAACAACAGCATCATTTTCAGGGCTGGATTTGGGATTCTGAAGCTTCTAGGCATTTAATGAAATGGGTGTGCAATCTTGTGCTGTACTACAGATGCCTTGGTCAAACTAGTGGGGGAGGAGCTTTAGAAAACTGCAGAAACCCCACTCCATCCTGATAGCTCCTAATACATCTCTGTTGGTGAAGTTGCATCAGCACAACATCACTAAAATGTCAGCAGAACTCTATGCCAGTGCATCTGCACCACTGCAGCAAATGTGGGAAAAGAGGGGTCAAAATAGGACGAAGGCAAGGGGTGAGTGGGAATCCAAAAATTCTACAGTCCTACCCTTGATTCCGGCAGCCAAGCTCAGAGGGCATGTAAATCCAAAACCAGCCAGATCAGCAATTCAGTGGAAACTAATCCAGGATCAGCAAGAGAAAGGGCCAAACTAAATGTTCTTTAAATCACTCATAGCAGAGCTATGCAAGAACAAGCAAATACAGCTCAAGAACTGCCCAGGAAAATAATAAAAAAATTGATCCAGGGATTCAGAGTTCCTAAGCAGCAGACAAGAATCTGTGCAGAAAGTAGGGGCGGATATCAGGGGTGGGCTCACCAGTGCAGTGGCAGAGGTGATGGTAGTGCTTTTGCAGGCAGGGGCTTTGGTGGTAGGCAGGCAGCTGCGGTCATGGGCGAGCATAAGCACGGAGGGGCGGCAGCAGCTGGGGCTTCAGCAATGAGGTGCGGTGGCAGAAGGCCTATCAGCAGCCCTCTGCTGAAAACCCATTAGAGTCTGGCACCAGCCCCACCTTTGAAATCTCATAGGCACTGGAGTGTTTTTCTGCTCCCTTTTAATGTATGCAGAAACCACTACCGCATTTTTTGGATGAACCAATTTTACTTTTGAACTGACACTATTTTCTCCATCAGAAGGACCTGCAACAAAAAATGTGTTGTTATACCCAGCAACAAAGTCTTAGAGTTTTCCAGCAGTGTTCCTCATCAGACTCTGGCTAATTTAAAACAAAGCAAAAACCTAGCTGGAAAGTCTCAGGATGACAGGGCAGGAATGTCTTTTCTGCCCATCTCCATACATTGCTGGACCCAGGGAAGAGACAGTGAATGGTGTGCAAGGCCCAGCAGAGACCAGATGCTGCCACTCAGAGGTCCAATACTAGGTTCAATAGACAAATAGCTTGACCTGGTACAGTGGTACCAGTTCATGACCAAATCGGGTCGCGAACTAAAATTTCATAAAAATGTTGACTCAGGTTGCAAACTTCACATTGGATGGTGACCATGATCACGGCCGTCTCCCCACCCCTGAGTGAGGAGATAGCCATGATTGTGCTGGGGGCGGGGGGGGGGGGGAGATGGCCAAGATCTTGCCTGTCTTTCCTGCAGGAGCATGCCCATAATTGTGCCCATCTTTCTTGCAGGAGTGCAACCACAATCTTGGCCATCTCCCCCCACCAGCATGATCGCACCTGTCTCTCCCCCCACAGCGCGCCAGGATGATGGGCATGTGCAGGTGCAGTGATGACGGGCGCAATTGTGGTCGTGCTGGCGGGGGGGGGGAGATGGCCGCGCTCGTGCTCGGGGTGTGGGGGGAGATGGCCGCGATCTTTGTTTTTCTTTGTCACTCTGCTTCACATTTTTCTGATTAAAAAAAATAGTTACAGAAGGGATTAACCCTATTTATATTGAACCTTATGGGGAAATTTAACTTGGCTCACGACCAATTTGGGTCATGACCAGAGTCCTGGAACAGATTAAATTTGTGAGCCAAGGTACCACTGTATAAGGCAGCTTCCTATGTTCCTGCAATGGCAGACTGGGGGTGCCAACCCTGGCCTTAGACAGGCAGCTGGGAAAGGAAACATTGGGAAAGAAAGCTTTCTCTAGAGAGGGCTTGCACAGCATACATCTATCAGCCCCAAAACCTTACCTAGATCAAGCTTCTTATGATACTCCCATACATTATTAGGGGCTTAAGCAGACAAGTCTCATCTTTTCCTACCCACTACCTTCAACTGATGCTCCTCTATTCCAAGTTCTTGCCAGAGTGGTTTAAGAGTTTTACAAAACTTCATTTTTCTTTTAATTTAAATGCTTCTATACTTCTGCATACTTTGAACATGTATTTTTGGGTAGCCCCATTTCACTTCTACACTGATAGGCACTTGAACCTGAGTTTGCTATCTGAGAGAAGTGCCTCTAAACTACCTATACAGGGGCTGGCTTATGGCTAGCTAAATTGCGGTGACTTCCTGTTTTTAAACCTCTCAAGGAGCAAAATAGAATCACACATTTGTTTTTAATTCTAAAGAAGAATATCTCAAGCTATCTCTAAATCAACTGTAGTGCTGTCAGTGCTGACTGGACAGATTGTTGAAGCATGTAATGGATTTCACCACTGAACAAAGTAATAGGGTCAAAGGTGTGTGATAAACGCAACTGCAGCGTGACTAATTTCAGCATTCCAGCAGAATAGTGAACTATGCTATGTCTGACTAGAAGAAACACCTACGCATGTATTACTTACCACACTCCTCCTGTAAAAGTTGTACCCTAAATGCTAATTGCTATGATGCAGTGCCATTGATTGAATTTTTATGTGAAGAATGGTTGCTAAAGGTTGGTGATTATTATCATGCTGGTTTCCCTGTTTTATTTCTTTCTAAAGGTGGATATAAACTGTCCACAAATTTCCACAGATTATTTATTGAATTAAATTTAGAGCTGACCTTTCCACTAAAACAGTGCTCAAGCAGCTAACATAAAATAGAGGAAAGCATGACTATTTTGCAATTAAAACAGTAAAAAACACCAGTTGTAAACACATCAATTAAAACAAACAAACAAACAAACAGAACTGTAAATTGTGCCTAGAAGCAGGCAAGCAAAGCTCTTCTAACAAGCTTCCTACAGCTGGTCCCAGCCAACAGAGTGACCACATTACTCTTGGTCAGCTGAAGTTTTTGAAAAGTTCTCAAAGGCAGTTCTACATAAAGCCCATCACAACTGTCAAAACAAGATGGAATGAAGCACGTGTCCCCATGGTAGCACGTGTCCCCATGGTCAGATCTGACATTTCCAGGAAAGGCACAGCTCAGCTGCTGTGCTCCTGTACAAGACTTTGCCGTATGAACAGACTCTTGATTGCTGCTCAAATCCAAGTGCAGGGCTGGATTCAGGAGGGGAGTGTGACTTCTTCATATCCAAGTGGAATCCCTTTTTCCTAAACTGCTCTTCAACTGACCTTTGCCTTATCTAGACAAGTGTGCTTATCCTAATCCACTTTCACCCATCTTCCTTCATGCTAGTATTCCGTGTTTGTGGCATTCAAAAGCAGGTATGCACTTTCTGCAACATAATGGGTGTGTTTCTCTGAGTATCACCATTTTGCATTGTGCAAACTGGGCATTTTGTTGTACTCTCGGGACAAATATGTGATTTGGCATTTGGAACTTGAACCCCACCACTGCCTTGTAATTAGGGTTCCTTGTAATTAGTATGTTGGGTAAGTTTTTTGATTTTTGCCTCAGCAATCTGCTTTCAAGGAAACAGGTGTTCTGTGAATGATAGCCATTTTGTGAGGACATCCATGATGTCCTCTTATAGTTCCAATTGAGTCTCTGGGCCCAAAAAATTGGGGTGCCATGCCTATGCAGTATATTGCAGATTTAAATCTTTGCACTGCAAGTTCATAGCCTTAACTATGCAACATGCTGTTCTTAAAAATAACTGATTTCCCCTCACAAAACTGAAATAGTAAGTCTGCTGCTTGTTCAGGACACTTCCTGGAAAAGTAATGTGGTTTTCAGCAGTTACATCAGCAACTACAGTAAATCACTTCCTTTTTGCTGCTTCTGAAGTAAAATGTATCACCATTTCCTATGATACAATATAATTTCACAACTGTCTTCAGGGTTATTCCAGGCTGTTTCATAGTAGAATAACTCTGCTTTTGAGTTTTGCTAAGAGTTCTGCTTCTTAGTTGTGCATCCCCCCCCCCCCCCCCCGTTTTTTTTTTTTTTTAAGGTTTTTTTTTTTTTTTTTTTTTTCCCCCCCCCCCCCGGAGGTTTTTTTTTTGTTGCAGGTGTATTTTTTTTTTTTTAGCTCTCAAAAACAATATGAGAGCTTATCTAATGGCCAAAGTCTGGTGTAGCAAGTGCAGTGGTAAGAGCTGTGTGGAATATGACTGAAGCAAACATACAAAATGGTTAGAAACTGGTTAGAGACTAGCAGCTTAATGCAATTTTTTTAACCTTCTGAAATTTCATTTAATTTTGAATCCTTTAAATTTCCTTTTAGTTTTAAATATCCCTCTAAAGATATATTCATATAATCCTTCTTAGACAGGCACAAGCACAAGCAACTTTGCTAAGCTTTACTAAACCTAGTGCTAACGTTGTTTAGAAGGTCATGCAAATGGAGTTATATGTGCTGGTTATTCTATCAGTCCTATTTGCTAAAATAGGCTACGGCAAGGGGCGGCATAGAAATGTTTTAATAAAAAAATAAAATAAAAATAAAATAAATAAAATGGAAGGTAATGGGAAACTGTAATCTAGCAACCTTTGACAAGCCTGTGAACAATTAGTATCAGAAGACTTAAAGGAAACTTCAAGAGGATATTCTTGCATGTTTTGATTAGCCTAAATGCCTGATAACCCAAGTATCTAATATTTTTCTGAGTCTCCCTAGCTTAGAGGCAATTCTTGGGCTCCTAGACTACTCCATGTGTTTGCTTTTATTTTCAGGGGAACTTTCACAAAGGTAGATTGAAATAGCAATCATTGCTTTTTGGAACTGGCGAGCTGTGCTGCAGTCCTAGAATCTTTTGCAGAATCTAACTTTGTTAACCAGGTGATCCTATGGCTTGGGACACTTACATTGCCACAATATTAATATAAATTAACCAGTATCATATATACCTGCAGCACGAAAGAGAAGAAACGTATTTCCCCACGAGCACAGAATGGAGCACCACTGTTACCTACACTTACAGTATCTGTGGCAATACTGCTGAGTCCCACCAATTACAGGCCAGCCTGCCAGCAGCTCCCCTACTGAGGGCAGTCATGACGAGCGCTCCTAGGAACAGCCACCACCCAGACCCAAGAGGCCGGTGTAATGGCTACTGCTCCTCTGTACCACTTATTGCTTGCCCATAGGAACACTCTAGCAGCCATCACCATTTGATCACCAGGGGAGTCACCAGGACAGCAATGATGGCGGCCAAGTGTAGTTACTACCTGCCCTCTGTCCCTGAATGAAGGGGGTTCAGGAGGAGGAGCTGCAGTTGCAATAAGCAGTGGCAGGATGCCTAGTTTGAGGTTTGTCATATTATTCTTTCCCTGGAGGAGAAAACCTATAATGGCAGCAGGTCATAAACGAGACTCAGGTCGAGAATATTTTAATAAAATCCCCCTATTTATGGGTAAGGCAGGCATTCATGCCAAGTATGTAGTGATTTAAATCAAATCCCCCTGAGCTGGAGCAATGTTCCAGGCTCATAGCTAAGGATCCAAGCAATTTTAAGACCATCCAGCTGCTGTCTCTAGCCCACAGGATTGCTAGGTAAGTCTGGGAAAGGTTAGATCTGTCGAACTTGAGTTTCTCAAATGGTAACCAACATTTAATGGTTACAATTACAATTGTTATCTAATATGTGAAGTGTTGTCTTTCCATTGCCCTCTACTGGACTATATCATAGACATGAAAACTGCCAAAAACAAAACAAAGCAAAGAAACAAAGAACCACAACTAAATAAAGCACATACATCTCTAAAATACTTTTAACAAACACTGTAAATTCAGATTGGAATATTTGCTGTGGGAAAGTAAACTAGAGAACAATTATCACATATATAACAAGGGAACTTGTATCAGATTAAGCCAAGTTGGACTTGGATTTTAAAAAATTTGTTCACTCACCACTGTTGGAGCATTCACTACAGAAAGATTGTAACCATACAGGAAGGAGGATCCAAAGGCTCCAGCCAAAGAAGCAACCACGAGACTAGCAGACCATTCCTGGGAAAAAAGGAAAAAGAAAAGTACTGATCATTTACAGCAAAGGATGCTTCTCAGCCAAACAATTGGGGGGGGGGGGGGGCAAACAAAGAGTCTTTGATATCCCAAAAACTAACAAATACATTTGGCACCTGATGAACTGGATGAACATCAGTTGCTTGCATTGCTACTGAGAATTTCAGGTATATATAATCTGTGGCTGGGGGGTGGAAGCATGGGACAGAATTGTAAAACACTGAGCCTAGAAGGAAATGAAATGCAGGATGTTTCAGTAGTGGCAATGACATTATTAACAATAGTTAATCATGGTAAAGTTGCTACCTGGAACATAAACATCTTGGCATTAGGTAAGCAAATAAACATAGTGATAAAAACCTTTATTCACTTCTAGCCTCTGGCAACAAAATGCAACCTGTTGATGAATTCTACAGGTTCTGCCTCTAGTTTCCATTTGAAGATTCTTTGCTGCCCAGTGGCCACTTTAAGGTCAGTGATAGTGTGTCCTGTGAGGCTGAAGTATTATTCCACTGGTTTTTCAAATGTCCAGTCTCTGCTCATCTATTATTGTGAACATTTTTAAATACCTTGGCTCAATCATAAATTCAAATGGAAACACCAGCCAAGAAATTAGAAGACAGACTTGGAAGGGCAGCAATGAGAGAACTAGAAAGGTTAATCTATTGAAAGGATGGAGACCAAGGCCAAGTTCATCCACACTGTTGCATTCAATATGCATGGGAGTGAAAGCTGGACAATGAAGAAAGCTGACAGGAAGAAAATTAATGTGTTCAAAATTTGGCACTAGAGGAGAGCTTTTGTTAATACCTGTGGACCAACAAATGAACAGGTGGGTCTTAGATCAAATCAAGCCAGAACTTTCTCTGAAGGCAAAAATGATGAAACTGAAACTGTTATACTTCAGCCATTATGAGAAGGCAAGGCTCACAAGGGAACCTCAGTTACATGATGGCTTGATTCCATAAAGGAAGGCACAGCTTTGAGTTTACATATTTTTGAGGCCCATCCTTCATCGGGTCACCGTAAGCTTATTTATTTATTAAAAGCTATTGTATGCCATCCTTTATATAAATATCTCAAGTTGGAGATGACCTGATGGCATGTAACAACCACCACCACCGCCGCCACCTCCTTCCATAGATGTGGCCTGGTCACCCTACGTCCAATGTAGAAGGGCACTGCTGACAAAAGAAGGGATACAGCATATTGGAAGAGGAGCAAGTGAATGAACCTTTGCTGTGGGCGACATTACTAGGTCCTGCAATAGTATTTCCATAATAGGTATGGGAGCATCTGGGTTTGTTGAAGGGGCTGGTCCCTGTTTTCATATTCTTCTTATGAGGCCTAATGTCACTAGTGATGAGCTATTTTAGCTTGGGAGGCTGCTGTAAGCAAGTCTGGACCAACCACCTGTCCTGTGAGAGGAATGTGGGGCTTGTTGATGATATATTTGAGTGGTTTCAGTTGGGAATGGCAAGTGACAACAATGGGGGTGTTCTGCTTTCTCTTCTAGGACTGGGTACCAGTTTGGCTTTGTCAAGCTGGTTTTTCATTTTGTGGGATGGGGACCGTACTTAGAGGATTACCTGGTTTAGATCCTTACATTGTGAGTCTCTGTCAGACAAATCTGATCAGATATGACTGTATTTCCGTGCCTGGCCGTAAGCAATGGGTCTTACGGTGTGTTCTGGAAGGAAGTATTTAAGTTGATATGGTGGTCTGTAGGCTTCTAATATAAACTGTTGCTTCGAGTCCAAAATGGTGCTTAGAAAGTTGCAAGGGCTGTTTAAGGTTTAGGTTGGAGGTGCTATGAAAGTTATTAAAACCCTGGTGGAACTTAGTTGGGGACCCCATACATGGTTATGGCATGTCAGGAGAGGCTTTTGTAGAACCTTTCCCAATTCGCACAAGCTTTTATGGATGTTGAATTTACAAGCACACCAGAGCTTTTGTAAACTACCCTGGGATTGTGTTGATTAAAGGCTAATATAAGTGTTCATCATCATCATAATATACACTGCATTTATACCCCACCTTTTTCCTCTTGGGAGAAACCCAAGGCAGCTTACATAGCTCCATTTCATCCTCATAACAACAACCCTGTGAGGTAGGTTGGGCTGTGAGTCTGTGACTGGCCCAAAGCCACCTAGGGAGCTTCACAGCCAAGCGGGGACTAGAACCCAGATCTCCTGGGTCCCTAGTCTAGCACTCTAACCACTGTATAACACTGGCTCTTAATTAAATAAATAAAACTAAAAAAATAAATAAAATTTAAAAAATTAAATTAAATAAAACTACAGAACTTTTTATCCTTATCAGTAGCTAGGGAATCTAGAAACCTGTTCACTCGTATTAGTGTACTCCAATCCATTCTACAGATTTAAAGCAGCTTCAGAGTTATAGTTCAGTTTTTCTTAGAACTGCTTTTAAAGAGCTTTTTAAAATTAGCAGCTTCTAGCAAATGGATCAAACTATGATATTTCCTAGTCTAACCTTTGCTTTGGCCGTGTAACATCTCTGCTTTAAGCACTTTCTCTATTTCCTGGTTCCAGGCTGTTGCAAATTCGAAGTGGAAAGACAGACCAATTGCTCTCATTAAAATGATAACAGCCCAAGGAGGATGGAGTTCTAAAAAGCCCTACCCAGAGGTAATGCATTAGATTGCAGAGACTCATGAGAGAGCAAGAGATCTTCCAAACCTGAAGTCCATAAGTGATCCTGAAACACTAGGAAAACTTGTGTTTGTCAAATAAACAAGCTTGCAAATAAATGGAAGAGAGCTTAGCATTATTAATTCTATACTGCTGCTGGGGGCTGAGGCTAAGAGTAAGTTGATTACTTAATGCCATGCAGAATGTTCATGGCATAGGCAACATATGAACTAGAAAGACCTAACTCTTGGGACCAGGATACCTGAAGGAACCTCTCCTTCCCCACATGCCCTCATGCCCCTTAAGATCAGCAGGGGAGGCCTTGCTCGGGGAATCCTCTTTGAAGGAGCTATGGAGGGTATCTACCTGGAGGAGGGCCTCCTCTGCAGTGGCGCCCAGATGATGGAATGCGCTCTCCAGAGAGGTCTGCCTGGCACTGACTCTCTACTCTTTCCGGTGTCAGGTAAAGACCTTTCCATTTAGCCATCATTTTAATAATTAAGGATTTTACACAGTCGCATTTTCTTTCTTTTCTTTTTCTTCTCTTCTCCTTTTCTTTCATTTTGAAAGTGTTTTATGTTGTGTTTTTACTGAATTTTAACTATTGCTATTGTATTATTATTGCTATTTTAACTTTTTGTAAGCCATCCTTAGGTTTGTTTTTTGTTTTGTTTTTTTGGCAAAGGACGGGATATAAATGTTTTAAATAAATAAAATAAATAAACTCACAGCTAGTTTCCAAACCAGTTTTAGCACAACAGTCAGATCTAAAATTGTGCCTAACTGCACGGCTTTAAAATTAAAAATATGAAACCTCTCTCTCTCTCTCACACACACATACACACACACACATATTGTTGTTGTTAGTCGCAAAGTCATGTCCAGACCATCGCGACCCCATGGACAACATTCCTCCAGGCCTTCCTGTCTTCCACCATCCCCTGGAGTCCACTTAAGCTCACACCAATGCTTCAGTGACTCCATCCAGCCACCTCATCCTCTGCCGTCCCCTTCTTCTTTTGCCATCTATTGTTCCCAGCATTAGGCTCTTCTCCAGGGGGTGTGTGTGTGTGTATATATATATATTTGACCTTTTTTTGAAAAAATGCTATGCGTCCCAGTAAACAATGCGCACAGGGAAAAGGAGACTTGCAAATGGTACAACCTTATTCTTCACTGGAAAAAAGCACATGGAATGTATATTTCCAGATAGCACAGCTGCATTTCTGACACTGGCATATCCCTGACAATATAATGGTATTGCCTGCAACGTTCATAGTATTTCTGAATGATAGAATTAGTAGACTGTGCAAAGGCAGTGAGGCAAAACAGCAGTGAAGCAAATTCGGCATTCAAGGAGACCAAAATCCCTGAAGAAAATGCCACCTTCCCTGGGCGCTGTAAAGCGGTACACATGCGGGTGGTGCTGTGGAAGCAGTATATTTTGTTGTGAACCCTCCCAGATATTTTGTAGTTTGGAGTGCCCTGCTCTTGAATGGGAAATTAAGATTCATTTGTTTTCGAAAAGCCCTGGTCCCAAAGGAGATGAAAACAGCTAGAACTGGCTTGTCAATATGGATCAGCCTCCCACCTGTCTTTATGGATTCTCTTTGGGGGCAAGGCTTTCGGTACTTGAACAATGACTGTGTCCGTGTGACATACTAAGCCATGGTAGGGGAGGATGGCTTAGTGGTTATGTGACCCCCCCCATTTCCCTTGGGGGGTTTTTTTAGGTCACCTAGCCATGGCTTGTTGTAGGGTTTAGGAAGCTCTCTGAGGCTTAGCATGTCATCTGAACCCACACAACATGCCAAGTCATGGCCAAAACAGAAAATATGTGACTCTGACCACCCCACTCAGGGCTTGAGATGCAGGAAATAGACCACTCAGTTTTGTTCCATTGAATGAAAGCAGCCAAGTGGGTCCTTCCCCCTTGCACCCACCACCCCCGTTTGTGAAGTTTTCATGATCCAGGTTTGACAGCAGGAGCGAGGGATAATTCTGGCTGCCCGTGTCGTGTGTGTGTGTGTTGTACTGATCTGCAGAATCATTCCTCCCAGCCCAACTAGGAAGACCTTTACAAGGTGGGTTCAGTTTAAGTGGACAGTGCCTGAGCATGGAAAGGGGGACATGGGCTACCTTACCACTCGACCACAGCATGCTGTGTCTTTGCAATGGAACGGGAAGGGCCACCACGCACTGGACTCCCATGCTGGAATTGAAGCAGGGGCTCCAAATTAAAAGAGCCCTCCCATAGCATTGTTGGGGAGGCATTCCCGGGGGAGGAAGGGAATGCGTAAGGCTCCACTGGATACCATATATCTTGGTGCA